GCCTCACGTTCCTAACTACAATTCGACAAGAAATTGATGGAAAGTATTTTGGCATTCAACAGTAAGTTAATCAACGATTGAGTCCATCTTTACTCCCAGTTTCGGAAGTAAAGAAAGCGTTACAAATGATTCAAAACGTCTCAATGCAGAATACCCGTTGTTTCACGTTGCACATAAAGATCCAGGTTATTATTATTATCGAGAACGCACTGTTGACTCGTCTCAGAATTCAAATTCAATTTTATTTTCGCTCATTGTTCCTATCCAGACTCATTCTACTCTCTTTGATGTATATCGAATAGATTCTATTGGCTTACCACTTAATCGGTCAAGCACGCGTGTTATGAATTTACCGGATTATCTGTCTGTTTCGGAGGCGAAAGATCAGTATATGGAATTTTCGGCTTGGGATTTTCAAACATGATGTGGTGAACACGAAAAACACTGCCCGATTATTCATAGTCTGAAACCAAAAACATCGCTCACATTCGCACTTGCTTTGTTTACTCAAGACGCACAAGAAATTAAATCCTTGTGTGATACTAAATTCCGATTAAATGGGCTACGTTCATTGGCTCTCGAAATCGAACCAGGCACAATTTTTTTAATTGGTATAAAAACCATAATACTAACGTGCAAGGGTCGCATTGAGAAGCGTCCAGCTTGTTAGATATTTATATTTAAAATTCCTTGTCACTGTGCGTTGAAACAAGATGCATTCGACATAGACATGAGAATTCATCATTGTCAGAAAAAGACAACTGCTTCAAAAATATACACACCTAATCTCTTACTTTTATCGGAATTTTTTAATGCACCCTTCTTAAAAAAAACATTGAAAGTTTACAAGCCCTTCTTCAGGATTCCGCTTTTAAGACCCCACATTTATTAATTGATGATAATGTTTCGCAGAAAGGACACAGAATTTCAAGTTGATTTACGCCTGATTTCACAACGTCTGAAAAAGGCACATGTGATTTCGGATAATTTAATTGATGGTAATTGGATAGATTCACTATCACCCTACGCTTTAGATGGGGATTTAACCAACCCATTTCACTTAACGGCAAGCATAGCCGCGGGTTTATCTCTATTTCTCTTAATAATCGTTCTTTTCATATGGCTTAAAGTTCGACCCTTATTTTTGGCATGACGGTGTGACGATTTCGAAAACACATCAAACTACACCCTCTCCAAATTATCCCCCTCCGTCATTTATGTCGTTGATTAAATCCACTATTTCCATGGATGTTTTTCTGATCATATCAACCGTATTTCTTGTATTTATTTTACTTTTTCGAAGAATACAAAAGTCAATCGACCGGGTACGTTATTGGTTTTACATTTGAAAAATTCCTTTGCTTGTCATGAAAATATGGTCTCACAATTCTATCTTTGTCCCCGAGACCTCACTTTAACGACTGGAAATCCTTCAACTAAATTTCGTATTCAGCGGGTATATTCCTTACTTATTATATACTGTTTGATTGTCACAATTTGCAAATTCAAACCCCGACACAATCTATATACATTTCGCGACGAATTTGTGTAAGTTGGCTCATGGCGTTTCTATTAAAACGATTCCTTCCTTCCACGACAGGTGTTTTCATGGTACTTCAACATTGTGGAGTCGCTTTTCCTTTAAATCTGACATAATTCATATATTAATTGCCATCTGCCATGCGAAGATAATGATGAAGATTCCTTTATTATTGCCCCTTATATTTCATATTGTAGTGGCTTTTTTTTAACAAGTTTACGGACCTGTTATTTGTGAGTGTTATTAACGATTGTCAGTAGGGTACAGTGAGAAGATCAGAATAAAAAATGGTTACGAATTTGAAATATTAGTTATCCCCTTTACAGATACCGAATTACAAGGAGAAAGTTCATTTCTACTTATTACTTATCTCATTATGGTGACAATACTGAATCAATAACGTTTCTATAGAGACAAGACCTGTATTTGGGATTGGGTGTTCTCATATGAAGGTAACTTGGTTACATTACGTTACATTATTCTATTTTTGTGTATCTTCTATATTCCTCGCTACGTTCAATTACTATCGGTGTTTTAATGTGTGCTCTCAGTCCATCACATACTTTTATATATATAAATACATATGTTGTTCGTTCTAGTGTTATTAACTACAAAGCATTTACTGAATGTTGTAAGTTAGAATTTAATAATAGCTGATACGACTGTACTGTTGAAGCAGTCCATGTTTTTTTGCGATTTGTTCGTGCTTATCAATGTACTTTTAATATCATATTGGTCCACGCACGTAAACCTATATGTGTAATGAGTAGTCAAGAAATTCGACTCAGACCGTTATGATACTTATATGCATATATGCATATGCCAGAAGACTATTATTGTTTATATAGTCTTATTTTTACAGGCAGTAGTCTGAGCTGCAGATGTCACATTTTTACATGTATTAATATTTCTATAGTTGGTATGGTACTATTCACTTGTTGATCATGAATTACCAGTTTTTTAAGTGTTGTAGATGATGGCCGTACCCCATTCTATAGGGCGGAGAGTCAAACACTTCCCCCGCTGTCGTCTGGTCCACGCCAAATTTTTTGAAACAAGAAAGGAGACAGTGAATTCGATTGGGTCCAGCGACACATGAACTTTCGTGAATGGTGGTGCCATATTTTGGCCATGTGCAGTGACATTTGACATTTATGAATCACTCTTAATTAATTATATATTGTACTTGAATACTATATCGTGATATTTATGCTTTGTGGTTATGAGAAGGAACATAGGATCATTTCTCATATTTTTTATCATGTAAATACATTTTGACTTTTAGCGTATTCGCTGTTTTCCGGCTATTCATAAAAAAATGAAATGGGTTACAATTTAATATATAGAATGATCGATCCTGTTTTACTTCTCTTGTGTTTATCGTGATTATAGTTTAACATATCAGACCTGACCTAGTGCTACCTCCATCCGAGATATGGACAGCTTTGTCAACAGGCGGAGGATGTTATAAGGAAAAAATGCATCCCACAAACCTTAGAAAAATTATACCAAAGTCAACCTTTAATTTGATGGTTATAGTTTTAAAAACGATGGAGACAGAAAGTCGGAGTGTCGGCGCAAACAAGCAGAAAATCAATAGGGCGATGACAGTTACAGGATATTTCCGATGGTGTTTCCGCCAATTAATCAATATACATCTTTTAAACGGTTACTTGGTTCCAGTAATTTTCAGATCACGACACAAACACGAGCTCATGGTCTGATATTGTTTTAAACAAACAAAAAATGATCTATGAGGACAAGTGACAAAGACAGGTCAGGCCCGAACACTGTAAAATGATACCGTCAACATAAGGAGAGGAGAGCGCGGTTTGCAGTCGATCGAGTCGAATCCCGATCGTTCTAAGTTCTCCCCATTTAGTGACGAGCCTGGCCGGTCTGATGCTGTCGGGTATTGATAGATGGAGTGAGAGTAAGTAAAACTAATGTGAGTATAAATGTGTTGCGTTTCTTTATTATGCGTGTATAAATGCTGATGGAGACAATTCGGAGTAAGCGTCTTAGGACCAGTCACTCCTGGACTGAGCTGTGAAGGCGAATTGCAAAGTCATGGCTGAACTGACCATGATGACAAGGTACGGCAATACTTTCAGTAACTGTAGTAGGGTCCCACTTGACACCCGAAAGCAGTTACGACAATATCGTCATACTAAAATTTCTTAATTAATATGTCTTCAAATTGAGCGGTCGCCGAACTGCCTGACGGCGAACTGTGAGTGAGTGAGTGAGTGAGTGGGGATTAACGCCCCTTTGAACAGTATTTGAGTTATATCACGGCGTGTCGGTATGACGTAGAAGACCGGAGTGACACCGGTCTTAGGCATTTACTACTTTCGTGAAACCCACGAGGACGGTTATGATACCGACAAACCAAATCACGGCGAATCTGGATTTGACAATAGGCCTGGCAGGCCTACGGGACGCAAATCTATCAGAGTAAATTGCGGCACCTTACACTGCTGGGCCACCGGTGACCCCATGTCCAGGGAGAACAGATGCATGCGATACTGCAAGACTCTGAACTGTGCAACGAGGCACGATTGTGATGACGGACAGCAGAACAAAGAGTTTTCCAAATGCATTTTAAAATAAAAGTGTTGAGTTATCGGGGCATTAGATTGTATAATGGCTCCTTTCTCCGAACCAAACAACTCAAAACCCAAATGTGGACGCCTGAACCTCACCAACAAATATCCACATGTATCTTAACGCATTCTCTTAATACTATTACAAGTTGTTCCATCGTTGTGTGTTTCACAACCGTAACAGTTTAAACTATATAAGTAACATTGAAAAGCAGTGACAGGATCGGATGTTCTCATTAAAATTAAATTCAAACTAAGATAACCAAACTCAAATCTGACAATTCAACTCAAATTGTCAGAGCATTTCAAAGTACATTTGACGTGTGAGGAATGGTATAAAACAAAGCGTAAAACATACGATTTTACTTTTTCGAAATCTAATTACCCTGATAAATCATTAAGCAAAATGAATGAGTGAAATATTACAAAGCTAAGACCTCCTGGGGACCATGAAAACAGTATCAAGCATTTCGACACCAGATGATGGCTGATAATAGACCACAGCAACACAAAGGTTCCGCAGGGACCATGAAGTTGCATGAGACATAACCTGAACTGATGATGTACTTAGTTATTCAATGTCAACTGTTTATATACATGTATCTCGTAACAGGTGGCACGTGAAAGAGAAAACATAAAAATCATGATGGCGTGTCAGCTTGATGTCAGAGGGAAACCCAAGTAGTACATGAAATAGTTTGCCATGTACTTTCGACTTTGGGGAAACCGACGAGCACGGGTTGTACAACATTAAGTAGATACGATATTTACACACACAAACGTTTAAACAGTATGAGGGCTTTAATACTAACTTGACCTATAACAATTTACCAAGTGTAAGTAGGCCAGGGAGTGCTGTGTCGTGAATGCATATTGTCGTGTTATCGCCCAATACACGCATTCATACATACAGATCGCTGGCGACGTGTTCGGAATGGAGCAGCCTGAAGAGTTTGGCGAAGGTTTTGACAGTTTCAGTACTGATGCCATCCATACGGGGGTGGATCCTATGCAGTGGAGTCACAGGGCTGTTGTTCCTCCAATCACCTTGGCAACCACGTTCCAGATAGCAGAACCCACGCGTGGAGCGGTGAGTGGCAAGTTATTGTGACTGTAGATATGATGGCCTATATTATCCCACACCGCGTGTACAATGCATGTACGGTACGGAAAAAGTGATGAAATGCAACCATTATTCATTATCTGCATTAAACACGATGTTCTAGACGCAAGCTGTATGTGCATGCAAATGTTAATATCTTAAGACCCGTGAAGATCCGGGGTAGAATAGGTCTTCAGCAACCCATACTTGCCGTAAAAGGCGACTAACGGGATCAGGTGGTCAGGCTCACTGACTTGGTTGGTGCATGTCATTGATCCCAACTGCTTGGATCGATGCTCATGATGTCAATTATTTACAGACCGCCGTCATATAGCTGGAATATTGCTGATTGCGGCGTTAAACAACAAAAAACAAACAAACAATAATATCTTAAACATGCGACGGCAAGAAAATATTTCTAATTGCATATGGTATTAAAAGGGTGTCCATATATACTCGTCATTGTAATACCGACAAGATATATTTACTACATCAATAAAACAGCTGAGTAACGGTACGCTGAGTCATCCTTCAAAGATAATGGACTTTTTTCGTCATGTTGGACAACCCAGTTTAGTAAACTTGCATCATGGTAGATATATCAAGATGGACTAAATATTTTCAAGATCAAGTGTCCATGTTTTTAAGGTTACATGATTAGTTTGTTTTTGTTTCATAATAGATTATTCCAAATTCATTTGAACATTTTTTTTAACCGCTTGGTATTCTGACGTTATAACAAATGTTGTGGGTGTCGTGCGCCACTTAAAGTGACAGGGAGCACGGGTGGCCGCAATTCGCTGTGCAGAGTTGCGTCCCTTGGTTGTGGGTTCGATTCCCGGTTCGCCCCGATTATGTTTCTAGGTTTGTCTGCACCATACCCGTGCTCGTAGGTTTCACCGAAGTGGTAACGTCTGAGAGCTGCATCACTTCGGGCTTTCCTCCCACATTAGGCTGACACGCCGCGATACAACTGGAATACTGTTAAAAGCAGCGTTAAACCCAGCTCATTCACACTCACTTAAAGTGATAGCACTGTGGCGGATCTGTACTCCGACGTTTTATATCCTTCCGTAAGCTTTACGAATATACAAGGCTCTGATGAAAATTACTTTTGATCTAGAATGATTCTTGGCCGTCTTTGCGTTGTGTCAATTCGAGAATGTTTAGGGTCACAGTGCTGTCACTTTAAGTGCCGCGGGACACACAGCATATTATGGCGCCAAACTATATCAGTGAAATTAACTATATGTCAACCTAATCGCTCACCGGACGAATGTCAAGTAATCTGATCTCAAGGGCTGTTGAGAGGTCTGGTATAGCATAAGTGATTGGTCATGTTCACATCTTAAACCGACCAATATTAAAGGAATACAGATACCCAACACATTTTGGGAAACCTTGAATTTATAAATCACACCCTGTCTCTTTCCAGCAATGTTATCCATGTTTGGGTAATATTTATTCTGTGTTTAACTAAAACCACAGTTTTTTTACAGAGATTTTACTACTCCCGAGGAAACAACCCAAACCGCAGCTGTCTGGAAGAATGCCTTGCAGCACTGGAAGGGGCGAAGTCAGGTTATTCTATTTACGTTGTGTTTTACGTTCTTCAGTTATGGACCGCCTCCGTGGTCTTATGGTAGAGCGTCCGCCCGGAGAGCGGAAGGTCCGGGGTTCGATCCCCGGCCGCGTCATACCAAAAGACGTTAAAAGATGGTACTTGTTGTTACCCTGTCTGGCGCTTGGCATTAAGGGACTAAAACAAGGACTGGTCGGCTCGGAGTCAGTATACTGTGTCTGAGTGGGGTATTCATGTTAAACTGCGGCATGGTATCTCAGTGGGCTAGCACTATAAATCGGCATCAGTCCGGACTAGTACAAGCAGTCAAACAAACACACACACGTGCATGCACGTCGGTATATAAGTGCAATAATCTTGGACGCGACGTTAAACCCAATTTCACCTCACCTCACCTCTTCAGTTATGAACTGATCAGCTAAATATACTGAATAAAAAAGGAAGGACTGATGAATATATTTTGGGATATTTTGTTGTAGCGAAGACAGGGCAAACAATTTAATAAAACATCCCCCTAAATATTCCTGCTCCATAACTTTTTTCTTCAGTATGCAAAGTACATGCGATTCCACTCAAATGCTTAATATGCTGAACAACAAAAGTTCCTGTGACATTAAATAAGATTTATTGCAAAGTTATGTTTTTTACCAAATCTGAAACAATTTCGGTTTGCAAAAGGAACTTTTGTTGTTGAGTATATTAAACTTTGACCTATTACATTGTTCAGGATGTAGGCGCTCCGGTATAGTGTATGTTTGAATTCGGAAATCATTATCAGTCTGTTGTCCATATATCTAGTGTGTCAGTTGTAGTCTGTCTCCCAGACACTGGAGAAAAAAAATAAAAAGGAGTCCAACTCAAGTTTAGGATGATTTGGCAAGTTTCGATTGCTTTAGCTCAAGGAAATTAAGGATTGTATTGGGTGCCATTTCGATTTTTTTAATTTTTTTATTTTATAGATATATAGTTTTAAAGGGAAGAGAATGTAGGGTTGTCAACTTTTGTGTTATGAGGAACACAACGTTTCGGAGTATATGCTTACTCCTTCATCATCATCCACCTGATGAAGGAGTAAGTATATACTCCGAAACGTTGTGTTCCTCATAATAAAGAAGCTGATATCCATATATTCTCTTCCCTAAGTGTATTACTTCTAAATGCCTCTCAAAGACCTATATTTTGAATACGACAACTTTATTTCTGGGACTAAATGTCTGTCTATGTCGGTCGGTAATTACAGGATCATGCATGGCCACCATTTAGGTTGTTTAGGTATTTCATTGTTCCTTATGAAAAGAAACAAACCAATATTCTCCTAAAAGCCTTTATAAATCTAAAAACTCTAAATGACTGCCAGGTGGGTGGAACGTCTACCTGGAGAGCGGTGGTTGGTGGTGCCATCCAAAAGACGATAAAAGATGGAATTTGTTATTACCCTGCCTGGCGCCCGGCATTAAGTGGGTAAAGGAACGACTGGTCGGCTCGGAGTCAGTATATTGTGTATAGCTGAGTGGGCTAGCACTATAAAACTAGTTAAGTTCGGACTAGTACAAGCACAAGCAATTTGTAAACAATGATGATCGATTCCTGGGAAGCACCAATGGCCCCCTACACTTAAAGTACATATTGAATAAGGTGCCTTTCCCAGGAAATTACCAATTTCAAATTCCAGCGTACTGCTTCGCCTCTGGCATGGCAGCTACAATGACAGCTACCCACCTCCTCACATCCGGCGACAACGTGTTGTGTTCCGCTGACGTCTATGGAGGTAAGACAGACAGAGGTCTCGCAGAGCAACTCACAGCTATTTGAGATGCGTGCATGTAACAGAAATAGTTGTACAGGTAAAGCAAGATGTCTTGAATTGAAATTGATTTAATGTTGTTAAAGTGAAGACGACTTATTTTAAATTAATGAATTATGATTTTTTATTTGGTTTAATCAATCAGTATTGGTTACTCGTCAAGCAAGATTCGATTATTTTGAAAAATACCGGTTCGAAAGATACCTCTGATGAGCATGAAAAAATTAAAATATATCCATCAATTTTTAAAATGCTAAGTTATGTTCATTTTATTTCAAATGTGTAACTAACTTATTGCAGGCGTATTTCGATATTTCAAGTACTGTGCAGTCAAGATGGGAATAAGCACGACCTTCGTTGACTTCCTTGATTTAGCCAAGCTTGAAGCGGCACTGGATTGTAAACCTAAAGTAAGTCACGGGGAGACTTAATATTGTATCTATCAACGTATCCCAACAAAAAAATAACATATGAGTCCGGATCAGGGCCACAGCATTGATCTAGAGACGGAACAACAACTTGCTAAACCGGGCTATACATCTGTCCTCGTTCCTCCATCTGAAGAAGATACAAAAGAGCTGTTCTCATTTAGTGATCGGGGAACACAATATGTTATCACACCGTGACCCCCGACAATTTGCATACAGAGTTGAAGAGTCTTGTTTATATATAGTCATATATATTTCGCTGTTGATGTATTGTTGTGTGTTTGTGATTGTATGTAAGTTGGAGTTTTCTTTCTTTAGATGGTTTGGTTTGAAGTGGTGACCAATCCAACTCTGAAGATCACTGATATCGAGGCCGTGGTTGCTGTAGTCAGGAAAAAAGTCCCCGATGCACTGATTTGCGTCGATAACACATTTCTCACACCATATCTTCTGGTAAGCATATTATATTTATGTGCTGCAATATATATGCAGGTTTTGTGTGTCGTTGACTTACGCCGCACACAGCAATATTCCAGCAATGTGACTGCGGTTTGTAACTAATCAAATCTGAACCATACAATCCAGTGATTACAGGCACCTACGCAATTACGATCTAATCTTATTCGGAATCATCAGGGGTATATATGCAAGTACGTACAGTGAAGCCTCGTTTATCCGTACAGTACAATTACCCATGAACTCGCCCGCCTGAACAAATTCCGGGATTTACGAATCATGGATAGATGTAATGTTCGTTTCGTAATGTATAGAGACGTTTATTTCATGATCGCCCTTGAGGTTTGGTGTCCATATTAACGGGGTTCGGACTAACGAAGTCTCACTTTATATGAACCGCGACGACCTGAATCTAAAGTGACGACATGTTATTTTTTGCCTTTGATAAATGTAAAATTACTCAATGAAATGTCAATGGATGAATATAGCGTCCAATGATTATGGTGGCAGACGTATTAGCTGTCATTTTGTGTATCATTTCAGAGACCACTTGACCTTGGTGTGGACATCGTAATGCACTCAATCACCAAGTACATGAATGGTACAACATAAATCTGCTCAAATATCAAACACTGAATAGAACCTATATTTCAAATTTTAAACAGATCATAACATAAAAAGAGACACATAAATAGATAAATAAATAGTCAATTTCCGATATAATGAAGTTGGATATATCAAAAGGTCGATGTCAGTGTTGATAAAACAAATAATCAACGCTGATATGCCAAATTCATCATTCGAGATACAGTAGTAGTTATAAAACGAACTATTTATCTAACAAATATTCGTTATATCCAAACTTCGTTTCAAAAGAATTATTGAAGTTTATACTCGAATGTTATATTCTGTTCGTGAAGCGGATAGTGAGCTATTGTATAATGATATTCACATTGTGATCTTTTGACACATCGTTGCGGTATTTCTGATTAAACGCTGCATGATGAAAATATTATTGGTCCTTTATTACAGATGGTCACACTGTTGGAATATATCGCTTATGTGGGAGGGTTGTTTGCAGGTCACAGTGACGTTCTGATGGGCTCTCTGGCAACAAACGATGCAAACATAGCCCAACAAATCAAGTTCTTTCAAATGGGTATGTTACTTACCAAGTGTTATTTTTATCTTTCCACGCATTGATATTTTGTTGGTTTGTCTGTTTATTGTTTTTTTTCCTGAAGGCGGTATGAAAATGATTACGTCTGGGCCTGGCAAACTCGTGGTTGAACAAGGTCGTTATATGATGACACCCAATAAGTCGAGTTTGACCACCTGTTCCAATATTCTCATCATTTATGGCAAGCGATAGTTATATTCTAACCGGTGACAAAGGACCGTGTCGGCGCCACATCCTTCATAACCAGAACAAATACATCATGTCAATTATGAATGAAGCATTGCGGACATTCAGCGATGTGTACCCTTTGTTTTAGGAGACAATATATTAAATTTACTTAAGATTAGTTAAAAGCAGGTAATCACCATAACCAATGGTGACCATCTTCATGTAGATACCCTCAATAAAGTGTTCATCTGATATTGTATCCTACAGGCATTTTAACAAGTCACCTAGACTGATGAGTCATTATGCCGTATCTGACAAAGAAATACTAGTTATTAACATAACAGATCAGAGCCCCGCTTCACAAAGCACTGCGGAGGCTGTGAGGCTATTGTAACGTTTTAAAACAGTCATGGTACTAAGATCGTATTCATGTACGGGACCCCGGTTGGTACCTTCGTAACCACCCTGTCTACACTGTAGCTCTTGGAGCCGTTCCCTCCCCATTTGACTGCTTCATGGTACAGCGAGGACTGAAGACACTTGCCATCAGACTGAGGGAGCACTGCAGCAACGCCAAAGTCGTTGCAGAATATCTGGAGAACCATCCACTGATTGATAAAGTTCTTTACCCCGGTGTGTAGAATTTCTGGATCTTGATGACCATATATATGATCGTGCTGAGTTTGCGTATTGCACATTGGACTGTTCATGTAATGTACATATTGAACTGTTCCTGTATTGTACATATTGAACTGTTCCTATATTGTACATATTGAACTTTTCCTGTATTGTACATATTGAACGGTTATGGTGTTGTACATATTGAACTGTTCCTGTATGTACATATTGAACTGTTCCTGTAATGTACATATTGAGCTGTTCTTGTATTGTACATATTGAACTGTTCTTGTATGTACATATTGAACTGTTCCTGTAATGTAAATGTTGAACTGTTCCTGTAATGTACATATTGAGCTGTTCTTGTATTGTACATATTGAACTGTTCCTGTATTGTACATATTGAACTGTTCCTATATTGTACATATTGAACTGTTCCTGTATTGTACATATTGAACGGTTATGGTGTTGTACATATTGAACTGTTCCTGTATGTACATATTGAACTGTTCCTGTAATGTACATATTGAGCTGTTCTTGTATTGTACATATTGAACTGTTCTTGTATGTACATATTGAACTGTTCCTGTAATGTAAATGTTGAACTGTTCCTGTAATGTACATATTGAGCTGTTCTTGTATTGTACATATTGAACTGTTCCTGTAATGTACATATTGAACTGTTCCTGTAATAAACATATTGAACTGTTCTTGTATTGTACATATTGAACTGTTCCTGTATGTACATATTGAGCTGTTCTTGCATTGTACATATTGAACTGTTCTTGTATTGTACATATTGAAATGTTCCTGTAATGTACATATTAAACTGTTCTTGTATTGTACATATTGAACTGTTCTTGTTTTGCACATAGTGAACAGTTCTTGTATTCTACATATTGAACTGTTCTTGTATTGTACATATTGAACTGTTCTTGTATTGTACATATTGAAATGTTCCTGTAATGTACATATTGAACTGTTCTTGTGTGTACATATTGAGCTGTTCTTGTATTGCACATATTGAACTGTTCATGTATTGTTCATATTGAACTGTTCTTGTATTGTACATATTGAACTGTTCTTGTATTGTACATATTGAACTGTTCCTGTAATGTACTTATTGAACTGTTCTTGTATTGTACATATTGAACTGTTCTTGTAATGTACATATTGAACTGTTCCTGTAATGTACAAATTGACTGTTCATGTAATGGACATATTGAACTGTTCTCGTATTGTACATATTGAACTGTTCCTGTATGTACATATTGAACAGTTCATGTGCTGTACATATTGAACTGTCCTTTAATGTACATATTGACTGTTCATGTAATGTGCATATTGAGCTGTTCCTGTAATGTACATATTGAAGTGTTCCTGTAATGTACATATTGACTGTTCATGTAATGGACACTGTTCTTGTGTTGTACATATTGAACTGTTCTTGTGTTGAACACATTGAACTGTTCCTTAACAAATGTTATAAAACGTCTTATATTATAGGAATGAAGCATAAAATAGAATAGAAGCCACTGTCCAAAATCCCCTAAAACGAGAACATGACATTTGCACTTAAGGCCATCATGTAGAACAGACATTGGAATAAAAGTACAATATATTCAGACTGGAGAGATATTAGTTCCTAGTTGTGAAAGCATTACATAATGTCTTGTTTGTTTTTCCTGCATACGTTTCTATTTCAGGCTTAGCTTCTCATTCACAATACGGTCTGGCTAAGAGGATTCTGAGAGACAACGGAGGGATGGTGAGCTTCTACGTCAAAGGGTCGGGGGAACAAACCAAGACATTTCTGAAAAATCTCAAGGTACAAAACAGAGAAGATGCTCATTCGTTAAATCATGTATCCAAATATTCTTACTCTATGGTATCCAGTTATCAAATATTGAGCTCTGTCTATATATTCAAGTATTGCTATAATGAATAGTTACTATAATGCATTTGCATGTAAGTATAATGTGTGTATACGAAGCACGTTTGAAATACAGTAAACTACGGTTATAACGAACACGCTTATAACGAACTGACGGATATAACGAACCTACTTTTTTGGTCCCGACTATTTGCTGTAGTTATACTGTATATATGCTTACAACGAATTACGGTTATAAAGAACTAAAATTAGTAGTCCATTTGAATTCGTTATAACCGTAGTTTACTGTATTTAAAATTCGGTTGCAGATAATCAGCCTTGGGTTTAGCCTTGGAGGCTATGAGAGTCTGGCAGAGTTACCGTGAGTATTTGTTCTTAAAATAAAGTGTCTAATGTGAGTGTTTGTTCCATTCGTTGTACGCGTGTGTGTATTTCAAGAAAGCAAGCACTGATACCGATATCCTGAACGATGCCTGTCGTCGCTTTCTTACATAATACATCATATACCATCGAAAAAGCATACATAGTTGAAGCATGGTGAAATATCTGCATGCTATTTTGTCATGATAAAATATCTGTATGCTAGTTTTGTCCTAGTGAAATTTATGTATGCCAGTTGTCACAGTGAACTATCTCTTATTTGTGTTGGCATGGTCAATTTCCTCTAAACCGGTTTAAGCATGATAAAAAATTAGAATGCTAGTTTTGTCCTGATTTAAACACCGGTCTGTGCTTTTTTTTGTCCTCATTATACACCGGTTTGTAATTTTTGTCACATGATCAAACGGCTGATACTATGTTTGTCATGAACAAATATTTATGTGCTAGATTTGCAGTGTATGGGTACATGATCAAATACAACTATACTAGATTTGTCATATAGATGAGTTGCGATGAAATACAGCCTGCTAGATTTCGTGTGACAACATATCTGTATCTTTTGCCGTCTACGCGTACGGAGACTCACATGTCTGCTTGTTTGTTGTCCGAACATGAGTGTACGTTAGTTTTGTCGTCTTGGCGTCCGATAACGCACAAGTAAGCCAGTTTTGGTATGATCAAATACATATATACTTTAGCTTTGACGTCTAGGTGTAAGACGATGCACGTGTAGGCTAGTTTGTTTGATGAAATGTATGTACATTATTTTTGTCGCCAAGGCGTCCTATAATGCACACGTATGCCAGTTTTGTTTTGATCAAATACATATATACTTTAGCTTTGACGTCTAGGTGTAAGACGATGCACGTGTAGGCTAGTTTGTTTGATGAAATGTATGTACATTATTTTTGTCGCCAAGGCGTCCTATAATGCACACGTATGCCAGTTTTGTTTTGATCAAATACATATATACTTTAGCTTTGACGTCTAGGTGTAAGACGACGCACGTGTACGCTAGTTTATGCGATCAAACATGTTTACGTCAGTTTTGTCCTTTTGATGCACGATGACGCACATGTGTGCATGTTGTGATGAAATACCTGTACGTTTGGTCTGTCCTCCAGGTGTACGATGACCCACAGTATGATGACAGACGAGGCGAGGGATGCAATCGGAATAACCAACACTCTTGTCCGACTGTCGGTGGGACTAGAAAATCCAACTGATTTGTCAAGAGATCTCGACAGTGCCCTAAAGACGGCCATATTGTAATAATTATTTATATGTTGGAATAGACACAATATCCATATTCCTCCTACCGAACATTCTAATCTGAGGGTCAGCGTCATCTCCAGGAAACTTCATTAGTTTTGAGACAGCATAGTAATTGTGATCTACCATAAATTCCAAGCAAATGTTTGCAATGTTCACATTCATTGCCTTCAATATAGTGGTATACAGATCCTAAAATATCTTATTCCCAGATTTCATCATCCGAATGTAATGCTCAATCGTTTCTTGTAATAACTATTAATATTCATATGCAAATTTAAATTCAGTAAAAATGGTAAATGTAAGAGGAAATAAATACTAGTATGTAAGCGATATATGGAATTGCTATAAGATCTTTTGTGTTATGATGTCTTCAAGCATAGAGATAAACGTCAAATACCCGCATCACTTAGAGCCTTCCTAACACGGCCAATATACTGTCCAGACGGCGCTGAACCAAACTCAGTCACATTTGTGGGTGTGTATTGACTGCAACCTGGGATTCCAGGTATATGAATATAGAAACCCAGCAACTTGTGTGTCTCCCCGTGGGGATTCCGGGTATGTGAATATAGAAACCCAGCAACTTGTGTGTCTCCCCGTGGGGATTCCGGGTATGTGAATATAGAAACCCAGCAACTTGTGTGTCTCCCCGTGGGGATTCCGGGTATGTGAATATAGAAAATCAGAAACCTGCGTGTCTCCCCCTGGGGATTCCGGGTATGTGAATATAGAAACCCAGAAACCTGCGTGTCTCCCCCTGGGGATTCCGGGTATGTGAATATAGAAACCCAGAAACCTGCGTGTCTCCCCCTGGGGATTCCGGGTATATGACTATAGAAACCCGGCAACCTGCGTGTCTCCCCCTGGGGAGTCCGGGTATATGAATATAGAAACCCGGCAACCTGCGTGTCTCCCCGTGGAGATTCCGGGTATGTTAATATAGAAACCCAGCAACCTGCGTGTCTCCCCGTGGAGATTCCGGGTATATGAATATAGAAACCCAGCAACCTGTTTGTCCCCCCGTTTTGATTCGGGTAGGAGTATAGAAACCCAGGAACTGCATTTGAGATCGATGACATGCATCAACCAAGTCAGCGTGCCTGACCACCCGATCCCGTTAGTCGCCTCTTGCGACAAGTATGGGTTGCTGAAGACCTATTTACCCCGGATCTTCACGGGTCCCGAGTGAAGTGGAGCGGGGTGGAGTGGAGTAGGGTGTGTCTGAGATATTTCCCACTTTGGTGAACCCCACGAGCACAGGTATGGTACTGACAAACCTAGAAATGTAATCACCGCGAAACTGGATTCGAACTCGCGATCATAGCTTTCTGCCACGCCTAAGACGGCAAACCTGCAGAGTAGTTAGCAAACTGTTGTAGCTTAAACGACCGGGCCACTGGTGTCCCTCTGCTTACGGGGAACAAATGCTTGCGACCCTACTTTGGCATTGAAATGTGCGACTGGACACGATGCAACCGGGATGGAGCACTGTGTTGTACTATATTATAGCTAAAATGGATAGAATTATCATAAAAACGCCCGCATGTTATCAGAAATGAGCGGGCCACTGTAACTTGATAATGCCCTCATATTACTTGACGACGGACCATTATCACGCCCGTTGTTAGGTGACGTCATAGGATAGGGATAGGTGACGTAACGTTCAATAGTGACGTCATCTGGTTTGTTCTATGACGTTTCCATATTTGTAAAAGTGGGTCAGTGACATTCGTGTTGATTGCAGTAAATGTTTTAAAATCGACATTGTTGTTTCTTTTTATTTGATAACAAATTCCATCCATTTATAGCTATAATAACGGTAACGCTATTTTTCAGGGCATTATCATTTGCAGAAGCCCTCGGTCTTTTCAACTGCCCTCCTTCGTCGGGCAGTTAATGGAAGACCTCAGGCTTCTGCAAATGATAATGCCCTGAAAAATAGCGTTACCCTTATACCAACAGAACACAGAGTTTTTCAAATACATACTATCATGACGGTTTTGGGTGATGGCCATATCACATTGTCTAAAGGCTCCGAACTCCGAACTCCGAACAAAACAATTCAAACCACAAATGTAGACCCCTAAAACACCCCAACAAACATCTGTATGTATCTAAACGCATTCTCTAAGTACATTATATCACAGGCTGTTCTATCGTTGCTATTTCCATGACTGTGTCATATACAGGCCGCCGTCGCATGGGAGGAGTACTACTGTCAGGAAACAAACAAACAAACAAACAAACAAACAAACGAACAAACAAACAACGGGAGGCACATTACAGAGTTAGTGAGTGATGGAGTGGGGTTTAACGCCGCTTTGAACATTTGTCCAGTTATATCACGGCGTGTCAGCTTAATGTGTGAGGAAAGCCCTAAGTGATGTAAGTCTGACCACTTTGGTGAAACTCACGAGCACATGTATGGTGCTGACAAACCTAGAAATGTAATCGGAGCGAACCAGGGTTCGAACCCACGGTCATAGGTTTTGGAACCACCAAGGGACACATCTCTGCATAGCGAATTATGGCCATCGGTGACCTCCACATTGTCCACGTAATGTAGGAGGGAGGGCAAGTGATCGAACGTTTTCCTAAACGTCCCACTTTGGTGAAACCTCCGAGCACGGGCTGCACGACATTAAGCATTTAAGATATGAACACAGGCAAACGTTGAAACAGTATGAGAGCCTGAACCTGACCAGGGGCGGTCGGGTAGCCTGGTGGTTAAAGCGCTCGCTCGTCACGCCGAAGACCCGGGTTCGATTCCCGACATGGGTACAATGTGTGAAGTCCATTTCTGGTGTCCCCCGCCGTGATGTTGCTAGAATATAGCAAAACGCGGCGTAAAACCATACTCACTAACTCCCTGAACCCGACCTCCTCAATTTCCCAATCACCTTGGCAACCACATTCCAGGTAGCAGAACCCATGCGTGGAGCGGTGAGGGGCAAGTTAATTATGATCTCGCAATTCAATATATCGATCTAAATATAATTTTTAAAGTTAAAGTGTACTCATTATTCATTATCTCCTCATATCCAACCCGGTGTTCCTGACGAAACCCGGATAGGTACATACATATCGTAGTATCTTACACATGTACATGAAACTGCTATCAAATATGTCTTATTTAATGTATTATAACACCGACAAGATATATTTATTACAACATTAAAATAGCTGAGTAACGGTACGCTGAGTCATCCTACACAGATAATGGACTATTTTCGTCATGCTGGACAACCCAATTTAGTCTACTTCACATGCAACAATATAAATACCAGCACACACACACACGCACGCACGCACGCACGCACACACACACATACACACACGTAAAGATCCCGGTTAGAGTGAATGAGTGAGTATGGTTTTACGCCGCGTTGAGCAAAATTCAAGCATTATCACGACAGGAAATACCAAAATAAGCGTTTATCTTATTTTATAGTTGTAACTAAATTATTGCAGGGACATTTCGGTATTTCACGTTCTGTGCAGTCATGATAGGAATAAAAACTGCCTTCGTTAACTTTTTTTATTCAGCCAAGCTTGAAGCGACAGTGGATGGTAAACCTAAAGTGTTAGTATTCTCACGGAGAGACTTATACGACGGTGAAGCGTTATTTTGAATCCATCAACAAGGAAAATAACATATGAGTTGATCTATAGTCATTGATCTAGAGACGGAACAACAAATTGCTCAGCCTGGCTATATATATGTGTGCGCTCCTCGATAAGTACAGGATACGAAAGACCTGTTGTTCTCATTAAGTGATCGGGGCACACCATACCAGTATTTTATCGAAACGTGACCCTCGTCAATTTTCATACAAAGTGAGCTGAATAACATCTTGTTTATATGTAGTCATTTTTATTTTGCTGTTGATGTATCATTATTGTTGTGTGTTTGTGATTTTGTGTATGTAAGCTTATCTTTCTTCCTTCAGATGGTCTGGGTTGAAGTGGTGACCAGTCCAACTTTGAAGATCACTGATGTCGAAGCCGTTGTTGCTTTAGTCTGATTGGTTGGTTTGCTGTTTAACGCCGCACTCAGCAGTATTACAGCTATATGACGGCGGTCTGTAAATAATCGAGTCTGGGCCAGACAATCCAGTGATTGATATTATAAGCATCGATCCACGCAATTGGAATTGATGACATGCATCAACCAAGTCAGCGAGCCTGACCACCCGATCCCGTTAGTCGCCTTTTACGACAAGCGTAGTCACCTTTTACGGCAAGCATGGGTTGCTGAAGACCTATTCTACCCCGGAATCGGTTGTATAGTCAGGAAAAGAGACCGTGCATGGTACTGCGAGGACTGACGACACTTGCCATCAGACTGAGCACTGTTGCAGTATATCTGGAGAACCATCCACTGATTGATTTCTGGGTCGTGATGACCATTTATTTGAACGCGCTGAGTTTGCGTATTGTAACATTTAACTGTTAATGTAATGTACACAATGAACTGTACTTGTATTGTAATCATTGAACTGTTCTACGCGGACCAATGATCGATTGTGTGAGCATCAATATTCCAAAACATTTAACCGCCAGCATAGTTTCCATGCTCAGAACCCTTAGCGCACACAACCACCTACAGTCACAATGTTCGAGGTAAAGAAGTGTATACTGCCAGAGGTGACAATCAATGAGATAGTTAATACATACATTCTATACATCTCTCTTAATTTTAACATGTGGTCGATATTCAATTGAAAATATCTTAAGTTAGTGATGTTTCTCGTTTTTCCAAACAATGATCTGTACTGGCGCTCAGTCAGCACTCAATGAATGCTTATGCGTAGTTTTATTTTTCAAAATATAGTTTGATAAAAGAAAATTAATTATACAAATGTTCATAGAATACACAACAGCTGATGGATCTCATAGACATCTTACCATTGAATATCAATATATTTACTTTTTCGACAAAAAATTACATTTCGAACATAGTAGGGGTCACGTGGTTGCAATTTAATTTCTTTCCCCAGTTTTCGCTGAACCAATGCCCTGACACAGATAACTTTTTACAAACTGTTGCAGGAATGAGTGACATAATGGACTTCGTCAAATAGACGACAGGTTCATTTTCAAAAACAAAGAAAAACACTCGGTATACTTTTTTTTCCATCCAGTTTAATTACAATACTTTGAGACAGGGCATATATGAAAATAATCAAACAAGGACATCTTATCTGGCTGCATCTTCCCGAGGCAAGGGGAGTAACTGACTGTAAATGTCCAGCTTCAACCCTTGCCGAACAAAGAGTCATATTTTGGCTGGACAAACAAGTCTATACATAGTCCAATCAAAATCGCGGAACGAAATCGACATTCGGTTCATAAACAACATGGCGACTGCCGTGTTGACTGCAGTATTTGCAGAGCATGTGTACTGTCAAATGGGCGTCGACAGATATTTTCCAAATCTTTTCATGTTATAACTAGGTGCTCAAGTGATTTGATGTACTTCGCGGGGCAAGACCCATTTTATTAAAATAAAACTGTCAGATCAGATTTACTTGAATCAAATGTAAGTGATATGAGTGGTGGAATCTGATTGGTCAATAGGAGGGACAAAGAACGGACATAGCCCGTAATCGCCACTTGTTGGGCTACGACCGAACCTCTAAATTGCAGCCTAGTTCGTCAAGGGTGGAAACTGGCCTTTTACAGTCAGTCAACTCCCTTGCCTCGGGAAGATGGTCTGGCTGTGAAAACAATAAGAAATATCTTCTTTGTATTTCAGTCTCAGCTTCTCATTCACAATACTGTCAGGCTAAGAGGATGCATCGACAACGGGGGATGGTGAGTTTCTACTTGAAAGGATCGGGGGAACGAACCAAGAAATTTCTGAAAAATCCACGTATTAGGGTGTCGTTTGTCAGAAATGTAACAAGGAACCGCAAAGGAAAATTGATTTTCATGGAAAGCATTTGGGACTTTGTACCATGGACGTTTGTCGAGCTGCGTTTCGGCAGCCCATTATATCCATAAATCGTGTCACTTTTTACCGTTAACATTAAATTTTGATGCAGACTAATGTCAAAAACGGGAAACCTCCAAAAAATGCATTGATACTTCAATGGGAAACCTTCATGAATTATTACGTTTCATTTGCGTTCAGTTCATATATGTAACCAATATAAGAAATAAACTGCTTTGTCATTTAGTATTGTTTTCTTAAGATTATTGTTGTTATGATTCCCTACACTACAGGGATAAACGTCAAATATCCGTATCAGCTCTAGCTTTCCTCACACAGCAAGCTGACAGACCCTGCTATAACTGGTATACTGTCCACACGGTGCTTAACCGAACTTCCGGTTTTGTATATGACAGCCACAATTGTTCCAATATGGAGAGAAGCATAGGTGTAACAACACTTCACACATGGCAGGTATGCGAGGAGTAAAATCTATTTATGTGCATGAGGGGGAACACTCGGCAAGATTTCTGAAATAATTGAATCTGGGCCAGACACTAAGTGATTGATAATATGAACAACCTACCACACCGTGGAGGAAAATTGACACGCTATCATCTACATCACCGAGTCTGATCACCCAATCCAGTTAGTCGCCTCTTACAAGCATTGGTTATTGGGGACCAAAACTAACCTGTATATCCCACCAGGTGAACATATTAACAGGCCACAACTATTCCGCTTATTGCCCACTTAATGAGGTGAAATGGGGTTTAACGTCGCTTCCAAGATTATTGCACTTATATAGCAAAGTGCATGTACGTGTGTGTGTGTTTGTGTGGCTGCTTGTACTAGTCCGGACTGATTCCGATTTATAGTGCTAGCTCACTGAGGTACCATGCCGTAGTTTAACATGAATACCCCACTCAGACACAGTATATTGACTCCGAGCCGACCAGTCCTTGTTTAAGCCCCTTAATGTCGAGCGCCTGACAGGGTAACAACAAGTACCATCTTTAAACGTCTTTTGGTATGACGCGGCCGGGGATCAAACCCCGGACCTTCCGCTCTCTGGGCGGACACTCTACCACTAGACCACGGAGGCGGTCGTGCCCACTTAATGAAGAGTGGTGACTGATATAAATATTGTGGGCAACATTAACACAGGCTCTTCAAGAACCTGTCGTTCCAGAGATTCCAGGTAAGAATATAGGTCCCCAACAATCAAGTGACGAGTAAATTGGTCTGGTGGTCAGGCTCAGTGACTTGGTTGATTGAGAGTCTCCTTGTCCCAGTTGCATGGTAGGATGCCCTTGATGTAAATTACTGAATTGTCTGGTCCAAACGTTCTTTTCTCTGTTTGTTGCAGAGACCATATATGGTATATGGTCTCTGGTTTGTTGTTAAACGCTGCACTCAGCAATATTCCAGCTATATGATGGCAGTTTGTAAATAATCGTGTCTTGACCACACAAACCAGTGATTGACATCATGAGCATCTATCTACGTAACTGGGATACGATGATATCAATCAGCAAGCCTGACCGCCCGATCCCATTAGTCGCATTTTACAGCATGGGTTGAAGACCTATTCCAACCCTGATCTTATGAGATTATTTACAGACCGCTGTCATACATATAGCTCGAATATTGGTGAATGCAGCCTTCAACAACATACAAACCCCGACATTCCCTGGTGGCGTGGATCCTTGCTCATATCACAAACGGGTCCACCCTGGCCAGCCTCGACCATTTACAGGCCACCCATAACTGTCTGACTACCGCCTGTCAGGGCTAATCAACAAACAAAAGCTTAACCGACTCAATGGCAGGCTGTACCAGATGTGTCATAAAAGCACTGAATAATTCAACACAATGATCACAAGTCAGCTGTTTATTGCCTTCATATTTACATACAATAACTTTCAAAATCAATAAACAACATGTGTATGAATTTGACAACAATCAGCGTAAATGCTTTACATTGAAGACACCTCTGAGATTCTAATCATGATCATATGATTACATAGTTCAAATACAAGACAACTATGACCTCATGTGAATGTGTCCTTCAAGTACTTCATGACTAGAATATATTATTATGTATGTCTATCTGCACCCCCTATTGAGGTCCCATGCTTTAAACTTGCACACTGTCACGACTACACAAAACCAGGTCACCTGAGCATATGCAATCTACCAAACAAACATCATTTACCCAACCTAGCAATCTGACATGACCCACTTCTGTTAAGATAATATATGACATTTTAAATGGCTTCTTTTTTCTAAGGTGAAGTGCAATTGGGTTTAACATTGCATTCAAGATTATTGCACTTATACAGCAGAGGTGGTCTCATTATTTCAAAGTAATCTTTTTTCATCAAAAGTAGCTGTGCATGCTAGAAATGTCTTCTGAAAAGCAGTTTCAATAAAAAGATCATCATATTCCAATGACTGTATAGTACATCCTCTCTATTCATCATCATCATCATCATCAATTGAGTTTAATAAACCAATTCAATGGAGCCACATCTACCACCCTAAGGCACAAGGTACACATACTCACAACACAGAATATATATTGCTCTTAGTCCAGCATTACCTGAAATTACATAAGCTAGTCATCAGATCATTGACGACAAATAACAGTAGATATGTTTCCATATGAGAACTGTGTCTACACTGAGGCCTTGTTTGTCTGAAAGTCTATGCTCATGATATACTAAAGCCTGCAACATTCACAAAGCATTGCCTGTCGTAGTATGACTATTTGGATTGTTGCTCCTATTATCAATCACTGGGTTATAAGATCCAGACATGATTGTTTACAGGCAGCTGTCATATATATGATATAACTGGAATACTGTTAAAAGCGGCGTTAAACCCAACTCACTCACTCACTCACTCACTCATATATATGTATATGGATTTAGGCTGAATGTGCCATTAAACTTAAATCAATCTGTGCCTATAGCATGAATATCACATACAACCAACTGAGGTTATTAAGAAACAGGGTTTTTTAAATCTAAAGTTATTTTGATAAATCTTTCACAAATTATCTCTTCGTTATTAATGTGTAAATCATATAACACTAGTTCAGCAACAAATCTGTTATATTTATATAGGAATGAATGTTTCAGACTAGCAGGGCTTCAATAAATACAAGCAAGCTGTTTCACATAATGATTTCACTGCATTGTTTCTAGATGCATACATAGACATATTAATTCAGACACACAACATGATAGACATGGTGGTCATACAGAACACAACCAAATTAATATAGTTTCCTCTTCAGGAGAGGGGTCACTTATGTCACTTTGCCTAACAGCAATGCAGGGTCTTACTGAACGAGTAACATTGTATCCTATATAAAAATTGAGAAATGGATGCAAAATATTTGCATTTCATGACCCATGGGATGAAAAACGTGTGTCCTTGTGAATAATTAACACAAATATAATTGTAGCCATCCTAGCATGCAACTTGATTTCCCTGTCCGCGTTCAATCTTCAAACAATCAAGTTTGTTTTAAACAAGAAAGATCCTGGTGATAGTTTATTTATTTACGGTACAGTGGTCATCCTGGACCCCCATGGAACATGCCAGGGTCCACACAAAGAATGACTGAGAGTTCCCAGGTTGCTGTTGTAAAAAGCGATCTTTGCACTAACTCCCATACCTCACCAGAGACTTAGGACAGTTGTAGCGTGAGGGTTGTTTTGTACAACGGCACCCTGGACTCGTGGCCCAGATAAATCCCCGCCAGGCTGATCAACTACAACAAGCACCAAAGGATGGTCGAAACAATGTCATGGTTGAATAAGTGAATCTAGATTGTGATTTTACTTTATATCATTATAGCATAATACACTTTCAGACCAAAAGAACATGCAACCAGCGCCATGTTCACTGAGAAGAATTTCATTTCACATGATGCAGTTGGTAAAACTAACCAGATGTATATATCACATAGGAATTTGAAGCTTCTTGGATCCAACATACTTGACATTTTCGTTATCTCATTCAAATCAGATCCTTTACTCCAGTAATCTTTCGTTGAACGAAATCGTATGTGAGAACAAAGATCTGATCTAATGATTGACCAGTTATTAAAACAGTTGGTCAGGATGGATACATAATTTGTCAACATTTGATATATATGGATTTACTTAATTAAAATCTGGATTTTAACAGAAATCACCTGATTCATAGCTGCTTGAACCTTGAATAAGATATGTCTATTATGCAAATGGACAATGTCATGATATGCTGATAATTACACACATTCATTAACTATATTCTTTGAGGCTATACTTTATATTGACGATGACCTATCTATCAACTGTCTACCGTCTAACCAGGAATGACATGGAATGTATGTTGGTGGCAGGCCCAGCTCTGTTAATCCTGCATGGTTTTGGCAGCCTTCTCCATGAACGTAGCCAGTTTGACATCTCTCTGTGACAAACCGCTGACATCGTGACTGCTCAGAGTTACCTGGACCTGTGAGAAAACAAAGAAAAACTTAACACGTCACAAGCCAATTAATTCTGGTTGTAACTTTCTACTGCCATTTCTCACAATCACAGTGACAATGAGGGCAATGTTACTACTGCAACAGAATTGCAGTAGCTAAACACTCTTTTGTGATGCTATTTCTACAGTAATCATGGTAGTGTGACAGCATAATGAGTACATTACCCTTCCCCAAAAGAATGCCTTGTAACTATGGGTTCTTTAGTGAGGTATTATCTGATATACGTGATATCTATTCAGTTTGCTTCTTTGGCTTAGGATGAATGAATGCAAGATTTCAACAGTATTTCAATTACCGTATTCGCTGTAGTAAGCGCCCTGATCCAATAAACGCCCCTGACCAACTTCAAGACCAATCTGTAAGTAATCCTCATAAGTTCCCCAACTAAGAACGAATATTAACGTGACTATCTGTAACATCTTGTGTCAATACAGATATCTTTTACAAGAGCAGAATCATAGAAAGGGATATACACAAAGCAAAGGCGTGTCAGTTTTGTCGATGTTAATGCTTAGCTTATTCACTACCCCACCCCACCCTTGTGTTTACACCGAATACGGCACATCAAGTCGGCTTTATGTGAGAGGAAAGCCCAAAGTGATGAAGGTCTCAGACCTTTACCACGTTGGTGACACCAATGAGTTTGAGAAATGAGTATGGTGCTGACAACCCGCGGCCAAACATCCAGGATTCAAACCTTCAGCTTCGCCTTAGGGATTAGTTAACATCTCTTATGCATTAGATGTCATGATGTCAGACATGAACACGAATCAATCCTAAGTTTGTTTGTTTGTAGTTTAATATTGCAGCAATATTCCAGCTATATGATGGCGGTCTGTAAATAATCAAGCATAAGAAAAGTAAAACAAAACTAGAATCTTGTGCATATCTGCATAATTTTCAATCGTGTGCCAAGCAATTAAGTGCTTGCAAAGATTGTAATCCACATAACCCCATTACTATCGGTACAAACATTGAATGGAAAGGTAGTATTGTGTGCTGCCGGTCCAGTGAGCCGGTAAATATATAACTGAACAGAAACACTGCCAAATATCAACCAGGGTCCCCTTGCACAAAGTGATCTTAGCGCTAAGACTATTGTAAGCCTATGCTAAAGTATGGGAGTTACGATCATCTTAGCGCTAAGATCGCTTTGTGCAAGTGGGCCCAGGTCACATACCAACACCCAGGGCTCAATATAAGGTACTTGATGCATGTGCATGTTGCCAAGAAAACCTTGCTGCACCAGACAAAACCAGGTTGCACTCTTGTCCCATAAATGCATCTAAATAAATAAAATCTCAGATCTCACGATTTTCAATACAATTAGCACTTTTGTCACAGTACTTATGTGGCATTGTCATCAATGGCAACCGTCATATAATGCATAATGATAATCATTATTTGGATGATCTAAATATCATAACGTGATACGGTGGTTAACGTCAGTAAGAGATGAAGCTACAGTACAATACGTAATCTTGAAGTACCCAAGTTTGATAACATCAAGCCCAAGAAAGAAATGACAAATTAGTGTAGTATGGTACATAAAGCTTAGAGGTATCGAGTGTGTTAAAAAAGCAAAGTTGTGTAGACAAATATAAGGTAGCTATGGAATAAATCGCAAAGAACAATGAAGAACGAAGTGTGGCTTACAATACTTCATGATAAAACATTGTCCTATTTCTTGAGATTTGAACATACACTCTCAATTTGATGACCTTGTATATTGTACATCGTTATTTTTGAGAGGGGAGTCTCTAATGAGTCGTTCCCAATAGATGTATCATATATCGCTGTGTATAAGGCGAGTTTTTCGTACCTTGAATTAGAGGGCTTTCAAGGGGGGGCATCTTATACACAGGGTTGAAGAGTTTTGATGGTTTTTTCCCCCCCAACACAAAGACATTACTGTGAGCACGCAACACCGGAAATACCACGTCAGCAAATCCGTAATGAAGTACGCAAACTAATCATGTAATAACCGTCTTTTTATAAAAAAAAGTTCATTATATATCTGGACTTTTCTTTGTAATCTATTTTATTGATTTTATTCAAAATTTCATTCAATATTATTTATATAAATTTCGGCAACATCGTATGTGCAGTGATCGGAAGATCGCACAACTCACTGTTATTTACATTCAACACAGATAAGTGTGATGGCTGCACGATCGCATCCAAAAGCGAGGAGAGATATGACAATCATCTTGGGCAGAAAAGATACAGGTTATTGACCTGAGGATTGTGAGAATATGCGGGAAATACCCACCTGTGCATAAATAGACTTGTCCAACATTGCCACGGTCAGATTCTATTGAGGGAGTCATCATTATTCAAAAAAGGGTAAATATTGTTAAAGCTTGTACATTTCATCATCATCCTTAAAGAGGCTGTACATAAATTGATATCTCATATAAGAAATAAACGACCAATTGTCGTTTATCGTACAATAAAACACTCATTGTTTATTTCTTTATTAAGGTTTAGTGAAGACACAAATTTGATTTTTTTTTATATGCACTTGGTCCATTTTTCAATTATAGGTTGCACTTGTGGTGCATCTTTTAAATAGCTACTTGAGCCCTGTCACCACATCATACTAATTTCAACAGTCTCTTACGACACATTCATGGGGTAGTGGGCAACAATTCTGCCCCCGATTCCACACATTGAACTTCATACAATAATAATAGAGATAGACTCATCATAAATGTTTTTATTGGTTCCATGATTATGACTATTATTACTTTTGTTGGTGGCCATCTTGGATTTGACCTATTTTCTGATGGTTCCCCATGTCCGATTTTGGTAAACTATTTTTTGTTTTAATGCATAGGTGTCAAGGCACCAAAATCCAGCTATAAGCCTTTTCTGTCAATTTTGTTGAACCTGGACCTTTCAATTACTGGAGTCTACAGTGTACCTCCATTGGGCAAATATGCCTGTATATGGAACATTAAGAAAGCAAACATCTTCCTGAGGCAAGAGAGTTAACTGACTATAAAAGTCCAGTTTCCACCCTTGCCGAACTAGGCTGGTATTATGGAGTTACATTTTGGCTGGACTAACAAGTCTATGCATAGTCCAATCAAAATCGCGCACCGAATCCGAAATCCGGTTCGTAAAGTGTCATGCAGATTTCGGTCGACTGCAGGATTTCCAAAGCATGTGCACCGCTAACTCGTTGTCAACAGATAGTTTCTAAATCGTTTCATGTTTTTAATCAAGGTGCTCACGTGATTTGATGCACTTCGCGATGTAAGACTTGTTTTATCACAATATAGATCTTGATTATCGATCAGATTGTCTTGACTGGGCGCCACCGTTTGGTTTGAAGCAAATGCAAGTGATACGAGAGGTGGAATCTGATTGGTCAATAGGAGAGGCATAGAAAGGACATAACTCGTAATAGCCACCGGTGGCGCTACGATCCAGCCCAGGAATTCCAGCCTAGTTCGGCAAGGGTGGAAACTGGACTTTTAAAGTCAGTTAACTCTCTTGCCTCGGGAAGATGGAAAGCAACATGTAAGACATCTTTCTACAATGTCTCACATTTATACTGTTGGAATGTCTTGAGGGAACTAGCATCATAACCATGTTTACCTTGTTTCTTATTTATCAAGGTCAAAGTTCTAATGCATGCATAAGTAATAAGAGACCCCTATATATCATGTATATTACATCACCTGTGTCAAGCAAGGTCACTGACATGTTCAAACATTATCCGAACCTGATAATTATCATAATAAGTATGTGAATCCCTGATCAACTTACATCAACAAAGAACCATATGTTTACTGCTGACTCAAACCCAACCAAGAGTTATGTCCCTTGACATGACTATTTTTCTACTGCATTCAGAGACCATATAATAGAGGGACGGCCCTCTAGCCTATGCGCGAAACCATCAGTGCTACGGCTTGTACTGCGCAGCCTGTCCGGAAGCGAGCAGAAACGCGTTCACTGCAGTCATCGTTGTTGCCTTTTTTTCCCATGCAAAAGATATATTTCACAATACATAATTACACTCATATATTTCTTAACATTGTTAACATTACAACTGAGATTTGTTGGTGCCCTAAAGCATGTCGTTGTCACTGTATTTGATGACTGTGATCACGCTTTGTCTTTGTCCGAGAGAACAAAATGGCGCACATGTAAAATCGGCAAAAGTGCAGATTTGGATTTTCAATAACGGCCTCTAATTCGCAATGAAAGTCCTTGGTTACCTAGGTGTATAAAAAGGAGATATGTTAAAAATTGGCTTAGTGCCATTAACAAATTTAGGGCGGATCCGAAATTTCAGATTTTGACTCCAGAAATGGGACTAAATCTGAATTTTCCCGAAATAATTACACCACAACTCTTAATTTTCGCATGCTTTCAGACGAATGTGTTCCTATTATCGGTCCTGAATTTAATAGTTTTACATTCATCACGATTTCCCCTATGGCTTGGTACCAACGTTATTTAGGTACGATCGGTAGTTTTTTTGGTATGATTTTTGGCGCAAGGCCATATTTTACCTCACATATTTTAAGTTAAATTACCATATAGCAGACGACATAACATGCATTTTGTCTGTGATTATCATCCGCATATATCCTGTGAAACATTCTACAAAGTGACTTATATTGTATGATATTAGAATTGTTTTTGTAAAACGCGTATTTTTTTTACCATTGCTTTCGCCATTTCTTCGTAAGTTTAACTTTGTTTCAGTTAGGCCTAATCACATATCGCGCATATACTACATACTACAATACTACATATTTGTTATCTTCTGTAGGTTTTGTCTGTATAAATCATGACTACATTTTATCGATTATTGTTTTTATGCCGTGTAAATATTGATTATAAGCAAAATTATATTGGCCTAAACCCAATCATAATAATGTAAATATGATGAAGGTACTACTTACTTTGTGTATTTACACAACAATGAAAACATCATACAAAAATAAAAATCCGTTACATGAAATATTTGTATAATAAAATTATCATTTGCTTTGTAAATGCCAAGAAAGAAGAAGGATTATATCGGCACTCGTCGGGAGAGAAGTTCCAGACAACAAGGTCGAAGGTGTCATTCAGTAAAATATATAGATGGTCTATTGTCCTTTTCTGTGAAAAATACATTTACATATGTCAGGGTTTGTGATGTTTTGTTTTGTTTTAATAGTAATACATGTGTAGTTGCATGCTTTGTTCCAGGTTAGAGTTTAAAGTTTGTTTATCATTGATCAGATATAGAAAACTATGATGAAAGAATTTTGAAAACAACAAACGTTACTACAGTTTACGATATACTAGTACATATCTGGTACCATGCTCGTTGAAGCTATATTGTTATACCTGAAATACCTAATTATTTGTATGCTGAAATATCAATCTAATCGGGTAATATCGGAATATTTGGAATTTAACAGTAGCCTCCCTTTGAAAAAAAACTTACCTCGCTCCAGCAAACCCCATTATCACTGCTAGCCCCAAACTAGCATTAACCAATAACTTTTGATTCTTTCGAAGCCCATTGTCGGACACATCGAAAACTCATTTAACAACGCTCGTAGTTTAATGTGTATTTCTAATTCATTGGAACTATTAGCATTATAAAATAGTAGCGAATTTACATGAAATAAAAACATTAATATGGCGTCATTTTTTTTCTGGCTAATAGTAAAGCATTTACACCAGTCGGTGATCATGCATTTTTGCAAGTAAATCTAGTCTGGACTTATTATAAGATATGAAGTTAATATGGAGATATATTTTGTGAACATCGGGAATATGGTGATATGTTACAAGTGTCTTCCCTGCTTCTGGATGAGTTTTATTTACACTTCCTGAGTTCCTGTGCAGTTTACCGGATCGTAGTTTTCTGTGGCGTTCGTAGTAGATTTGGTATATTTGTTTATTTATAATAGTTAACAATTGCAGCATAAAAATTAGATATTTTAACTGATTTTCAAAACAAATAGAATACGTTATAAAATACTTTTGATATCGGAACGGCTTTTTCTTCATACGCCCTCGAAAACTTACGCTTGTGGACAGACGTCATATTTTCATTTCCTATCTTTTTCTTTGAGTGAATCTTTTTGGGAGGTATTTACCAACGGCTTGGTAGCGGTAACATCACTGTCATTCTATTTAGACCAAGAGTCATCCGAAACCAACCCCTGGTCGAAGAGAGGGAATTCTTCAAGTGGCATATCTAGGTCCAAGACGAAATCGTCCAAGTGAATGAAGTCGTCCATGGCTGTGGCGAATGTAAATTGAAATAAAGAAGACACGGAAGACACACATGTTCAGCAAATAATTTGCAGCCAACTGACATGTGCTTATGAGAGATATTATTAAAAAAATCTTTGTAATCCGCTAAGAGACGTCCTTTTATTGGATTGTCGCTGGTCGTAGTCGGAGAAATCGCGGATAAGGGAATTCACTCTTACCCCGGATATTATATAATATTGTTTACGTGGTTACCAGAATGGTCAGTCGTGAATGTCTGCGCATCTATTGCGCATCTGCAGCGGTACAGAGAGGTTAACAGCAGGGTGTCGGGGTGTATCAGTTACATGCCAGACCGTAGCGCTGATGGTTTATGATAAACTGTTGGGGAGGGCCGTCCCTCTATTATATGGTCTCTGCTGCATTCAACTAAATAGATTTTCAAGTCACTATTTTGGCCTGCCATTTGAATTACTTTAATTGCTTACCAAAGTTATCTTGCTTTGTTTGCTCAGCTGACTATTGGCAAACAGCCTAGGAATCTTGGCAACAGCAGTCAGTGCCAAAAACTTTTGATTCGACTTGTCCGAACATGGCTCCTTAGCTTCCTTTTCAGTAGATTTTTGTGCTAGTAATATGGAGTGTTATTAATCCATAATCTTTGCCGACTTCTTAATCCATGTTGACAATGTTTTTAGAGGGACACCAAAGTCTTTGGCAATTTGTGACTTAGTTGAAGAACCCTGCTCAGTGCTGTAACTTTCATACTTAGTCTCAATCGATTGTACTGATAATTTATGTTTTTTAGGTGAAGGAAATCAGTTATCCTCCCAGTCATACCAGGCCCTTCACTAGATTGCTCAGTCATAAAATAGTGTATCGACTGATAAACGAAAAGGTAAATTCCATGATGTTTCTGCAATTCTGCTGTAAGTCACATTTTCTGTCATACCAGGCCCTTCACTAGATTGCTCAGTCATAAAATATTGAATTGATAAACGAAAAGTCAAATTCCATGGTGTTTCTGCAGTTCTGCTGTAAGTCACATTTTCTGCAAAACTTTCCGCTATCACAGAATGGCAGAATTCATCTGGGACTCACCTTGTTGTACACATTAAACCATTCTGGGTGATGGTCCATCTTATCAGCCAGGAGAGCAACTCTCGTCATGAACCCAAATGCCTGAAACATATATGCATGTACATGATAAGACGAAATAATCTGATCATCAAAATGATAATATGGGATTATTCTTTCGTGTGTTTGTTTATTAATGCCGCACTCAGCAATATTCCAGCTATATGACTGTGGGCTATAAAATAACCTAGTATGGTCCAGACAATACAGTGATAAACATTTGGGATATGATGACATGCATCAACCAAGTCAGCAAGCCTGACCACCCAATCCAGCTCTGCTTGTTATGACAAGCATGGGTAGCTGAAGACCAATTCTAAACAGAATCTTCACGGGGGTGGATTCTTCTGATGACACTGTTAAATGGACATTGTGTGAAATTCAAGTGTAACATAGGATGAGAGGGGCATTTGTATTTCTTCAGGAAAAATAACATTATCTCAGTTTGTATCTTCAAGGGGCAAGGGAGGTAACCAATCATAAAAGTCCAGTTTCCACCCTTGCCAAGTCTGAAATTTCAAGACTCGTTGGAGAGCCCACAGTGGCTTTTGCAAATTATGTCCCTTCTAATGTCCCTCCTATTGACCAATCAGATTCCACTTCTCATATCACTTGCATTTGCTTCAAACAAAATGGCAGCACCCAGTCAAGAAGATCTGATCAAGTTAATGGAAGAAAAGTTTAACATTAATATCTCAGACACCCAGATGATATGGATTGTAGCACAACATTTGAGCATGGTGATTAAAACATGAAAAGATTTGGAAAATATTGGTTGACACAGTTCACGGTACACATGCTTTGCAAATCCTGCAGTCAACCAAATTTCTAAACAGCAGTTGCTGTGTTGTTTATGATTTTGATTGGACTATGCATAGATTAGTTAGCCCAGCCAAAATATAATACCGAAATTCAAGCATAGTTTGGCAAGGATGGACTTTAAGATTCAGTTAACTCCCTTGCCTCGGGAACATACATGACAAGGTAATCAACAACATTGTGGTGGCATGTAGCCTGTGCACAGTGCATAGGTCACAATTCAGGTAAAGCAACACTGACAAACATTGAGTTGCGAGCGTATTTTCAGATCTCCGGAAATTATGTCAGAGTTATGAAAGGTAGCTATCGAGCATACATTTAACACCTGTTTGAGTAAACAATGAGGGTACGATGACACACACTCAACGAGCATGACCATTGTATGCACAATGTGGCCTCCTAACCCAGATTCCCCACTAACTGAGGTGCAACTAAAGCACAGGGCACTACAATGTTTACTCAATTGTGTATTTTATGAGATCCGTTTACTCAAGATAGTTACTGCTGAGGTAAGTAGCAAGGGATCCTGTGACATATCTAGGCCATGTGTTACTTCATATCTTCTAACCTTTCAGTATGAGTTGATGACTACCTTTAACTGCATTATATACAGCAACAAAGTAGTTATTTAATGACTTGAGGCAAACAGGGTTTGACTGCCAACTGGACTGTCAATTCACCCTTTAAAAGTTGTAAATCATCAAACCTGGTTAAAATTCTTGAAGAGATATTCCTTATAGATGGCATCCCTTCCTTCCACCATGGACCAGCCAGCACCAGTCAGGGGGCTCAGGGCAGTACTTCTCTCTTCATCCGACAGCTTCCCACGCTTAGCCTCAGTTGCCTGTATTGAAAGAAAACAATGATTCATTACCTGACAAACAAAGAACATCATGATATTCTTTATAATGAATGAAATAATGTTGTTCGAAATTGCACTCAGCAATATTTGGCTATTTATTTGTTCTTTATTTCCTTAAGTCAGTTGGTTGGTTGGTTTGTTGTTTAACGCGGTACTCAGCAATATTCCAGCTATATGACGGCGGTCTGTTAATAATCAAGTCTGGACCCGACAATCCAGTGATTAATATCATGAGCATCGATCCACGCAATTGGGATCGATGACATGCATCAGCCAAGTCAGCGAGCCTGACCATCCGATACCGTTAGTCGCCTTTTACAACAAGCATAATTCAGAAGTAACTTAGCATTGTATTTAACTTTGCATTCAATTTAAATGTAAAACTAAGCATTAAAGCCCCTTCCTCTTTGTAGGACCTATCATCATGCACTTGGTTGATGCATGTCATCGATCCCAATTGTGTGGATAGATGCACATGATATCAATCACTGGATTGTCTGGTCCAGACTCAATTATTTACAGACCGCCGTCATATAGCTGGAATATTGCTGAGTGCGGAGTTAAACAAAAACACAACCAACAACCAACCTCCACTAAGCCATCACAATCATTAGCCTATACTGTAAATCTTGAAAATTAACTGGGCGTGAATTAAATGCGAAAAATGTGAGTGGTATTTGCTCGCATTATTAAACACCGCATTTATATCATCAATAAGACATTTTGGAAAGCAGAAATATCAACTTAGACATTAACTGAAAACAAACAACTATGTATTCCACATCACTGTTTATTGAGCAGCTGACTGACTGACTGATATAGAAGATTTAACGTGCGCTTTCCGACTGTAGCATTTTTCGCACACGGGCCTGGCCAGACCATTTAGTGTATTCCGAAAAGGGTGAAAGTGACGTGCGCAACCCAAGAGGGGGCTTTTAGGGGTTGCCTAATTATATTGTGTTTTAAATTTGGAATAAATGCCGAGGTGGGTGGAGGAGGGAACTAAGGGAGCCGGATGAGGTGGGTGTTTGTATGTTTATTGGATTTTGGATTGGTAGATTAATTAGGTTTTAGATGCGCTTAATTAGGTCTGTTTTGATTAGGAATACGCCTAGGGCCTTGAAGTTTTCTAGTTTATTTTGAGGGTTTAGTATTTCATCTAGAGTAGGAACCTTATTTAGATTGAGGGTGGTTTGTAGTGTGGTTCTGTGTGTTAGGTAGTGGGTGCAGTGGATGAGCAGCACTTGTAACCAGTATATAAACAATGTCATTCAAACACTAATTACATCCTGTGAATTGTCACTGCTGGGGTCATGATAAGAGTTCTACCCACGCAACATGGTGTCTTTGTTCTTTGCGACTGCGTCAAAGGCCAACACGAGCCAGCGTGCATGTATTGTTTTAGTACTATACTCAGCGCTAATAAGCGGTGCTATTTGGTGTGTGATTGGATTAATGTAAGGTTGGATTAAGGTGAGAATTCTCCTGTAAACAGAGAACATTTTCTTCAGACATAAATCCACTGATGCTTGAGAGGAGGGGGATGGCTAGGGACCAGCGGTCGCATTCTTTTCGAGACGTATTAATTTCACGATTTACAGTATATTAAGTTAATATGAACTGAGTAATTTTCTGTTCCAACAAAACTGAATTTAACTGACATTTACTGTGGACAAAGGGCTGAATTTCGAAGATCAGCCTGAGCATGCCTAGGTAAACCCCTACTGTAAAATGTCCATTGATCAGGTACCATGATGGGTACTACTCAACTTTTGATAGAGATATTGAGATGTTTGAGATTGAACAACTACGACTACAAATGTCCCTGTATTGAAAGGAAACGAGGCCAACCAGTGATAGGTAATGAAATGGGAATGTTTATATATACTAACAAGTAATGATGCTGTCAGTGTTTCAGTTCCATGCAAATATTGACGGTAACTATTTGTGCAACAACGTTTCTCAATTCCTGGCTGGGTAGTAGGCCTACATTTTTTGTTTTTAGTCAATTCAACAAATATTCAACTTCACTCTACATAATTTATATGACCCTTGAATATCCGGGTTAGAATAGGTCTTCAGCAACCAATGCTTATCGTAAAAGGTGACTATGCTTGTGGTAAGAGGCGACTAACGAGATCTGGTGGTCAGGCTCACTGACTTGGTTGATGCATGTCATCGTGTCCTAATTGGGTGGATCGATGCTTATGTAGCAGGGCGTGGAGTCATCCCACAGATGACATCCTTACCTTGTCAGCTTGCTGACAGGGTTAACCTCTTTGGTCATGTGGACAAGGCGTCCGACCTCTGATCAGAAGGTCCGTGGTTCGAATCCCATCATGGGACTCAGACATTTTTTGGCTGCTACACTTATGATGTCAATCACTAGATTATCTGGTCCAGACTCGATTCTTTACACACTGCCATCACTGCCGGAATATTGTTGAGTGCAGTGTTAAACAACAAACAAACATGAATTATAGATTGCTAATCAAATTCTCTTGCTTAAGATTCTGCTCCAACTCATTTCAAAACAGCAAAACTTTTATCATCATGTATATGTATTTCCATAACAGGTGGACTAATTTGGCTTGTTCAGGCATTTTCACATGCAATGATTTTACCGGCGCATCAGTTAGTATCTGACGACACTTTTTGAAGTAGGTCACAATGATAAACATGACAATGTGACGCCATCAATACATGTGTTCCATATCATGATGCCAATGCATAACTGACAATGTCGTCATTATATTGACGAAAAAATGCACTTTCGTCAACTAACTAAACCACACGGCTCTGGTAATTTCACGCAGCTGCTAATCTAGGGTAAAGCATCTGGCATATTTCATATGCGTCCTTCTCTGAATCTGTGTTCCACTGGGTTAGCGCGATGCCTTTGAATGATCTTTCGTGGCTTTAGACTTATAATGCACCAAGAAATGGTTAACGTTGGTGCAGTGAGATGAAGAGACCCGAGTGGGACCAAGTAGGTATCACACAAACTCACCATCTTGTGCACAAATGTCAGGGAATGTCGCGGTTCCAAACGGCAAATCTTGGAAAGGACAGTCACGAATCGATAAGAATTCATGACACGCGACTCTTGTTTCCGGAACACAAGAAGGGAGACAACTCCTTGTGCTCTATTTCATAAATTAAGTGAAGCGTCTGGAAAATGATTTTGCTGCGAAAGGTGGGCATCGACGAGTCCTAGTCTATCTTGTAAACGCCCTATCACGACAAGCACTGGCGAGCCTGTCAAACAAAACATGATCTTATTTGAATGCGGAGTTGTTATACATTCATCACTGTCCATTATGATATGGAACTGTGAACAAAACGGAAACATGTAAATCACAGTTCACCATGCACCTAGGGCCACAGCGTAGACCAGAGGGTCATCGAGAGTGCGCACCTGACACATTGCACGCATCAATTGGTGGTGAGGTGAAATTGGGTTTAACGTCGCGTCCAAGATTATTGCACTTATATAGCGACGTGCATGCACGTGTATGTGTGTGTGGCTGCTTGTACTAGTCCGGACTGATGCCGATTTATAGTGCTAGCTCACTGAGATACAATGCCGCAGTTTAACATGAATACCCCACTCAGACACGGTATACTGACTCCGAGCCGAGTCCTTGTTTTAGCCCCTTAATGCCGAGCGCCAGACAGGGTAACAACAAGTACAATCTTTTAACGTCTTTTTGTATGACGCGGCCCGGGATCGAACCCTGGACCTTCCGCTCTCCGGGCGGACGCTCTACCACAAGACCACGGAGGCGGTCCGCATCAATTGGAGGTTATAGTGCTCATATTGTACATAGACACGTAATACAATGAGCTCCCTTCTTAAATCTTTTCCCAATTCCATGATTTGCAAACGTCCAAATGTGTAATATATTTATAGAAGTGTCTTTATTGGAAAGTATATTATGCTGTCAGGCAGTTACAAAATTCTCAACAACGGGGACTTTTTACCACATGTGTATGTATATGTACAAGCAAATATATTAAGTAGGCTTGAAATTGTGTTAACTTTTATTCTTTTATTATTTATTGATATTGACATATAAACAATGTCCTTTTGTTTGCTCTGGTGCTCTCACATTTCGCGAACTCCATACACTGTTCACATGGAATTGTTTGAAGTTTTGTCATTGTGTGTTTTTAATAACCGACGTGATGTCAATGTCGTTTGTTTCCTTCAACCCCATATTTGCTTGAGGGAAAATCAGGGTATCATATCAATCTTGTGGTCAATAAATTCTACAATTTGTCATTTTTTGTGCAATATGTTGAATGTGTACGTCACTGAAATGCTGTGTTGACGACAATGACTATATTTTCCAAGATGTAAAACTCATTCCCCTGTATTAAGATGTTTATATGTGCCCTTGGGAATTTAAGTGTTTCAAGAAGAATAAAAAAATTTGAACAATAAAAAACATTGGTTTCTTGACAATTATATTGTGGCACACCAACTGGTCACCATCGTTAACATAATTACAATTCAGTCAGCCATAACAGCTATGATAAATTACTGGTTGTCCCTAGAGCCTCATAATCTGGGGCCATCAACTCGGTGACAGCCATTTTACTATGAGCTCGAGTGATTGAGTATTGTTTTACGAGTCTTTTAGCAATATACCACTAATATCATGGAGGGGACCCCAGAAATGGGCGTCACACATTATTCACATGTGGGGAATCGAACCCGGGTCTTCGGCGTGACGCTTTAACCACAAGGCTACCCCACCGCCCCCTGTGAGCTCGAGTGTGCCCATCCCTGTCACTGCTACTGATAATGTTTATCAGTTTAACATATCCTGGTGTCTGTTTGTGAAACACATTGTACGTGAAGCATGTTTACTGTTTATTTGTCCAGTTTGTTTGTGGAAGAGTACATTCAGTGAGTTGGGTTTAACACCGTTTTTGAACAAGGTACAAGTTATGTCACGACGTGTCAGCTAAAAGTTAAAGTTGGAAGAAAGCCCTAAGTGATGCAGGTCTCAGACGTTTACCACTTCGATTACCCAGCGTCATATTTCCTTTCTCTTTTGGTGAACAACTTAGACCCTGTTGCTACCATAGATCCGTTTTAAGCCCGATTCGAATACTATTGCGAATCTGTCCAAGGTATTTATCATACAGAACGGAGATGGGTAGGGTATTAACGTAGTGATCACACGCGGCGCGAATCCATTGTCAGAACCAACAACCAGCGGATCGATATCCTATCAGAGAAGACAGCCTCCGTGGTCCAGTGGTAGAGCGTCCGCCCGGAGAGCGAAAGGTCCGGGGTCCGGCCGCGTCATACCAAAAGACGTTATACTATGGTACTTGTTGTTACCCTGTCTGGCGCCGAGTGGAGTATTTATGTTAAACTGCGGCATGGTATCTCAGTGTACTGGCACTATAAATCGGCATCAGTCCGACTAGGACAAGCAGCCACACACACACACGTGAATCACGTCGTTACATAAGTGCAATAATCTTGGACGCGACGTTAAATCCCATTTCAACTCACCTCAGGACGCAACTGATATATCAGTTTATCATCACAATATCTGCAGCATGTTTCTTGATTTAGACATCTTAAAACCTACTCTAACTGAACGAAATACACATACACTGTCTGGAAACGTTTTGAGAAAAGGGAGGATTACAATCAATTTTATTGATGTAACTGAAAGGGGCAACAACAATAGGTTTCGTACAACTCTTTTATACGCTACACAACAAAAACATGATTGTGTAAATTGTTTGTTTGTTGTTTAAAGCCCCTATCAGCAATATTCCAGCTATATGACGGCGGTCTGTAAATAATCGAGTATGGACCAGACAATCCAGTTATTGACATCATGGGCATCGATATACGCAATTAGGATACGATGACATGCATTAACCAAGTCAGCGATCCTGACCACCCGATGCCGTTATTCGCCTCTTACGACAAGCATTGGTCGCCTCTTACGGCAAGCATGGGTTGCTGAAGACCTATTCTACCCCGGATCTTCACGGGTCTCGATATTTGTCCTTCGAGGAAGGTTGATAGGTCGGGTCTACCCGGACCTTCACGCTTCGGTTGCGTCCGTAATAGACAATTCATATCATCCAGATATCCCATCGGGGCTGACGTGGTGTTGAACAAACAGCGGGTAATCAGTACACGTGCCGTCGACGCCCAGTCGACCAGAACACATGGCTACGTGATGCACACTTGTTGTGTTTAGATTGCCTATCGATTGGAAACACATGTGTACAGATCAATAGATAAGAGAGCATACGTACAAATGATGCAGTTGTTCTCATTACTTGTTTAACTATAAATTTGTTGCAAACGATGAGGTAGGTGGCCAAAATAAACATTAACATACACTTACAAATTGTTGTTGTTGTTTTTGTGAAAATGATTTGGAAAGTAGAACTAAAACATGCTGGCTGGCTCGTTTCTTGAAAGCCAGTTCAACGAGGTTATTATGACGCCCATATCGTTCGACTTTGAAGGTTCTAATTTTGAAAGGACGAGATGGGATTAAGGCCTTTTTTGCCCACGGGATCTCCACATTTCAGAAATGAGCAAAACTTTTGGAAATTGTTGGTTGATTTGTTGGTTAACGCCGCACTCAGCAATATTACAGCTATATGACGGCGGTCTGTAAATAATCGAGTCTGGACCAGACAATCCAGTGATTAATATCATGAGCATCGATCCACGCAATTGGGATCGATGACATGCATCAACCAAGTCAGCGAGCCTGACCACCTGATCCCGTGAGTCGCCTTTTATGACAAGCATAGTCGCCTTTTACGAAAAGCATGGGTTGCTGAAGACCTATTCTACCCCGGAATCTTCACGGGTCTTGGAAGTTGTTAAAATGAGAACACGACTTTGTTCATGCCAACTTTTGTTTGAGACCTATTGCAACACTAAATGCATAAAAGGTAATGATGGGAAAAAAGCTGATTTTATAGGTTTTTCCGGAAGCGTTTTTCTAATATCTCTCTGTTCTCACTGACTTGGTGGTAACGTTAGGCACATGGCAGGCTGAAAACAGACTACGAACGAAAACACATGTAGACTCCTCTTCGTAGATCTTAAAATGTGAACGTGTGCTTGTTCATCTCCTTAAAATGAGCGAGTCCATTTTAATGTCACTTTAAACAGTGTTATAATCGGTACAACCCATGACCAGCAGATCCTGACACGACGAAGGGGCACCACTCTGGAAGCTATTTGCCCCTCATTTGCCCCTCATTTCTTCGAAGAGTAGGGGCGGTCGGGTAGCCTAGTGGTGAAAGCGTTCGCTCGTCACGCCGAAAAGGTTCGAATCCCGACATGAGTACAATGTGTGAAGCCCACTTCTGGTGTCCCTCGCCGAGATATTGCTGGAATATTGCTAGAAGCGGCGTAAAACCATACTCACTTACTCGCTCACGTATATGTGGCCGGGCATTTTAATTCAGTAATGCATGAATTTTGGATTCAGCCTGATAATAAAGTTTTCATCCGAAATCCCATAACGCAGTACACATGTATGTCATGCACGTCCGTGAAGTTTATTGTTATTAACATTTTGTCGGCACGCTCTAATAAACAGTCAGTACGAATATACGTGCATTGTATCTCTTATGTAAACATAACAATATCCTCCATGTCTCATATTTCCTGCATTATTTCCACCAGATGCGCATAAACCCCTGAAATTAAAATACGTATCATACTTTGTCCTTAAAGATTAGAGTAACCGACACTTTCGTTGACATAATGTAATATCAGAAACCCCACCATCATTACTCCACGTAACACTAGTGAGTGAGTATGGTTTTACGCCGCTTTTAGCAATATTCCAGTAATATCACGGCAGGGGACCCCAGAAGTGGGCTTCACACATTGTACCCATGTCAGGAATCGAACCCGGGTCTTCGGCGTGACAAGTGAACGTTCTAACCGCTAGGCTACCATACCGCCCCTACGTAACACCTACAATGTAACATATGTTCTAAATATATTAGTACCTTGGAATTGCGTCAACGCTGATGTCATCTATTCTATAAACAAGGTCTGAAGGGACAAGCCTAAATATGCAATACTTAAGTCACTAAGTTTTAACAAATTTAAAAATAAATATATATCACTCAATAAGTGAAATGAATTTTCTGGTCAGAATATGTTCCAATGCAGGCAGTACCTCACGCCTGTCGTTAACGCCGAGTGATTATGTCATTGTTCCCGATGGCTGTGGTCGTTTTCATATACTCAACAACAAAATTTCCCGACACCAATATTTTCGGGTATTTTTCAAACAAGTAAAGTTTGGTTTTCAATATTGTAGTACATGTATGGAATCGAGTCACAAAAACGCAACTGCTACAGAAAAGCATGCATTCCATGCAAAAGTTGACTTTTATGCAAGCTCCCTGCATTTCACTGCCCAAGAATGGATATAAACACATGTGCGTTAACGGGATTCCATATGCATTGTTTGGCATCGTGCTGACAACAACCACTCTGAAAAACAACAAATTTACGCAATTATTCAACATTAGCAAATGCCACGCCTGTCCGAAAATGAGCGCCTGCGAGCCATTGGTATGCTTGAAGCAGGATCGAGTCAACGTGATGTTGCAAGACAATTTAACGTCCACAGAAACACCATTGGTGTTTATGGCAACGTTCGCAACAGACGAATGCAGTCAGAGACCATCCTCGGAGTGGCAGGCCACGCGTAACCAAAAATAGACGAGACAACTGGATTCGAACAACACACCTACGAAATCGATTCCAGCCAGCAACAGTGACTGCAAGAAGCATCCATGGCCTTCGAAGAATATCTTCACAAACCGTACTTCGTCGCCTCAGATGTGCAGGGATTGTCGCCAGACGTCTCATTTTGACAGGAAACCACCGTCAAGCACGTCTACGTCTACGCTGGACGGCCATGCAGTGAGGACAAGTTCTATTCACTGACGAGTCTCGTTTTTACCACAGCGATGGACGGATTCGAGTGTACCGACGTCGAGGTGAACGTTACGTCAATCATTGTGTCATGGAAGAAGATCGGTTCAGGGGAGGCAGCATTATGGTATCGGGTGGGATTACAGCAAGACAGAGGACGCGTTTGACAGCGGTAGAGGGAAATCTCAATGGACAGCGCTACCGCGACGAGATCATCAGCCCTGTTGTTCTACCGTTTTTTTGCCAGCTGTTTGAAAATAAACAGATGTTCTTTAACGTCGTTTAAGTAACTAGTATAAAACATGTTTCAATGTTGAAAACACGGAGACGGGGTTGCTGCTTGCATCCTTCTGATAGATCTTTCCCTTATCGCGAACACCTGGTGTCGTCACTGATCTTCAGTGATCCATCCATACGAGTTAGTGAGTGAATTGGGTTTAACGCCACTTTTAACAGTATTCCAGTTATATCACGGCGTGCCAGCCTAATGTGGGAGGAAAGCCCGAGGTGATGCATGTCTCAGACGTTTACCACTTCGGTGAAACCCACGAGCACGGGTATGGTGCTGACAAACCTAGAAACATAATCAGGGCGAACCGGGATTCGAACTCACAATCATAGGTTTCTGGCATGCCCAAGGGACGCAACTCTGCACAGCGAATCGCGGCGCCTTAGACGACAGGGCGGGTGTAACAATATGTATTCAATGGTGAATACAAATTCAATATTGTCTTTACCCTGACTGCCGATACCATTTTTGGTCGCCGATTATGACAAGCATTATATGACATGACCCATTCATCCTCGTTGACGATTGATTGCTGATCAAGTCAAATAAATGAGTTTAAGCACGAACAAGAAACGACAGAAAATGAACTCTAGTTAAATAGTTTATTGATGTTCCTTGTAACTAGAGACAGTGAAAGTTGATATGGAATATATAACAGTTCTTAGTTATTCTCATCAGTATGAACATAGAATGCCGAATGAAAATCATTTTTCAGTCGGAATTTATGAGGAATTTTTGTGAGGGGTTCTGCGTCCTGATCGATGGAGGTAAGGTACACTGATGGATCTCTGGCGACCACCGGATAGTTCATGAACGAATACCGAAACGGAACGGATGTCATGTTGAACCCGTGTTGATGAGCCAATGTCGGTGGCTTTGCTGACGTCAGCACTTTTAACGATGATGCCGCAACAACATCCGGTTCGTAAGACCCATGATACACTTCTCCTTCCGATGTCACACTCGACGTCTCCGATACATCGGAAGAACTTCCTCGGCGCAAACGAGGCTCTGAAAACATGTCACTTGCTATTTCCTTCGGATTCAACTTATCTGCAAAATGGCGTTTCAGAGCTGCTAGCTCATGCTTCAGCTCAATATTTTCCCGTTGCAGCTCCTTGTATTTCACCTCCATTGTTTTCTCGATAGCTCTCTTCTTCAGCCTCGACCGTCGTGCGGACTCATTATTCTTCAGCCTCTTCGACCAATAGGTCGAGTCCTTTCTATCAATGGGCACAAATTCACGTTCAGCCCGTATGACGTTAGGTTCATATAATAATGAATTACTGATGTGAGATTTTCCGTTGCTCATCGGAACGAAAAGTTCGCAGGACTTGACATCTTCATTCTTCAGTTCCTCCTTGTGGCACAGGGATTGCGTTGGTATCCAAGACCCGTATACCTCCCAGTTTGGATTGTGTTGACCATACTCGGGTTCGAACCCTGGATCAGTTCTCTCTTGCTTGACGTTCACTTCCATCGTGTTAAATGTCATGTATGTTCCCAACAGAAGCTATGTAAGACGCCTCTCTGTAAACAGAAAGATGATCTGTTCAAATATGGTTTTGAATATGAATCTGATGCAAGTGGACGCAAAACCTTTCCTCACTCGCAACCGAGTGATTTCAGCTCTAGAAGTGTCTCTTCTTTATACAACTCAGCCCATACTCGTTACCATGGAATCTAACAGCCAACAAAACAACTGACGTAAGCACGTGCACAGTCGACGGGAGCAGCCGTGAATAACATTTGAATATATATTATCAGGATGGTCACAACAGACCTCACATAAACAAAATTTAATGAGCTGACGTGTGAGTTGGTCGTGGTGACGTATGTAACAGTGTGTCTCTCTTAGTTGATGTGTCTGGATTATTTGAGAGGGAGAGGGGGGGGGGGGGGGGGGGGGGGGGGGCGTTGCTATTTGGTTACATCAGTTACAGAAAACGGTTTGTGCATGTCCAAAGCGGGACAGGCAAATTGCAATACATTCGGGCGTGGTCATCCCTCTTGCGTGGACTCGTGGATAAACGCTATCATAATACACTACAGTAAACTACGTTTATAACGAACACGCTTATAACGAAGTGACGGATATATCAGACTGTTGTTTTTGGTCCCGGCCATTTGCTACCGTCATGTCATGATACCCACGCTCCGGCGATTATCCCTGCGTTTTGTCACAATCAATATTCTATACATGTCATACGCAATATTTTTTCTGAAAATAAAGTCATAATTAGACCCGACTAATATTTACTTGACGACGAGTCATATACACGTTTCCACATAGATCGAGTATCTCATTGCTTTGTTCCACAACGAACTGAGTTTGTAATCCTACACATTTCACATGTCATACAGTTGGACAATGGCCTGTCTATTACGACAACACTTGGCGGGAACGAGAAGCGGACAGGATGATGATGGTAATACTGAGGCCGGTGATGGTGATGATGTTGTGTGGTAGTGATAGTGATAGTGGTGGTGGTGGTGATGGTGGTGATGGCAATGGTGAGGTTAAATGAATACCCAACTCAGACACAGTATACTGACTCCGAGACGACCAGTCCTTGTATTAGCCCTTTAATGTCGATATGGTAACAACAAGTAACATAGTTTTGGTATGTCGCGGCCGGGGATAGAACCCCGGACCTTCCGCTCTCCGGGCAGACGCTCTACCACTAGACCACGAAGGCGGTCGGTGATGTTAATGGTGGTGATGGTGATGTTGACGGTGATGGCTCGGGATGTGTGTGACTTCGGTAAAATCTATTTAATTCCAGTGATTGAATGATGTGAGAGGATGTCCAAAAGTGATGCAGGTCTCAGACTTTGGTGCGGTCAAACCGAGAAATAAAACCACAATCATAGGTTTCTGGAACGCCTTTTGGAAACGACTTGGTTCAGCCCATTTTAGATTCTTAGACAAGGACAACTATGTCTCCCCATCTTCTAATGTCAACCGTATGGTATGATACATATATCATGCATTCCTGGGAACATTATATTCGGGCCGGAAAGGTTTCAAGCGCCTAGTGTCTAAGAATCGGATGACCTATCGGTCTTTTTTGCGTTTAGTTTCGTGTTTCTTGTTATGTACAACGCTAAAAAGATTGTTTTTCTAAAACTGAAATTCAAACGACGCTGAATAACTTTAAAAATACATCATAATGAGATACAGAATTTTATTCAGAAAACATTGTTTTCTGTAGAAAAAGCCATGCTACTATGAAAAAAGGATAAACCCTTCAGATTTTCTATAATGCGGCGGTGATGTCAACATATACCGCATTCCCTAAAAGGCAGGGTATCGATTTGGAGAGGGGCCTCAAAACGTCAGTGATTGGATACACCGAGTCCAAATGTTCGGAGTCCAATAAGATAACAAATATATGTAATACTTTCAACCCTAATCCGGCGATGATATCTATTTGAGGATTAACAGGACATCGATCCTCTCTTAAGGGTGTGCCCGCATCTCAATGTTATGATCAGGTTCAGAGCGCAGTGTTACCAATCAATTACAGGAAAACACCTAATGGCCCATACTCGAAACTGATGTCGCAAACTACCTCGTTAATCCAACCTCTCCTTTCAAAGTGTCTTCGTATTACATGTCACATGGATATATCACAAAGCAACATAAGTACTCATTTAAAGAATTCAGTGTCACATAAGATTATTTTATAACCAAAACAGCCTACTGTGACGTGACGCATTTATATCCGTGCACCCTGTTTACATGCGTGCGTCCTGTTGACCTTGAAGCAGACAGCACATGCCCGTTCTGTGTTGTGAATGGCAGAAACATCGAACATATGCTGATATAAGCTCCGTTAATATCATTTCTACTGTTAAGCTGACAATTGAGTTAAAACATCCAGTTTGTGTCAAATAGTGTTGAAACTGTTTACATGTCTTCAGTTATAATTGGGAAAGAAAAAAGAAACGATTCTGTTAAGGATATTTACATGTACATCTATTACGGTAGTCTCTCTCAGTGACAGAGATGCTTTATGGAATGACCTCGTAAATAACTATATTTCGGAGATAACACGTTAGTCTGTTTCTGGGACGCTGTTCGACCTAATTCACATGATATCATTGTCCTGGTATTTTGGTGTGGGGGTGGGTGGGTGGGGGGGAGAGATGGGGTGGGGGGTGGGGGATGGGGGGTGGGTGCAGGATGTTTTTTATGCACTATGAACACCAAATAATCCCTCCCATTTCACTTATCATATTTAGATGAAATAAACTCCCAATGTCCAAGTACATTTTGTCATCATGTATATATAATACATGTGATATTCAAATCATATTTCATTTCAAACGATACACTCCTGTTATATAAACACGGTTAGTAACGGGGTGAAGGTCGCAAGATACAAGTAAGAACCTACCTGTTAATTATATTATAATATACACAGAAACATCACATATATATAGAAGTATTGTGGTTTTAAAACACAAATTATGAAATCGCTATTCAGTGATATCAGAGGTATTACGTACTTACACGGTGAACGATGTTGCCTTTCCATGTGTCGTGTTTGCTGTTTGAAGGCAAGCGATAAACAGGCACAGGCGGCTTGGGCTTGACAACCGCACGTCGATATTGACACAGTCGTCCTCTTGGAAGTCTTATTCAAAGGGAGGCAACTGGTATAGGTACTCCGCTATAGGATCCGGTGTTCGCACTGTATGACCTGTTGCATAAGCGCGTCTCGTGACAATGTTGGGGTTGCATAACGTTTCGTAATATCGAACCCGACAGGATTAATGTTTCGTAACATCACTGCGTTCATACTTGAATCATTTCAGTAACATACAGATCCCACCAATGTCGAAACACCTTTGTTTGCGAGTTTCAACAGATGTTGACGATAAAAATTCACTTCTTTTAATGCGAAATGGAAAATGTAGAACTAATGGTCACTTACATTACATTTTCAAAGTTCATTTCTTGAAAAGTATATGTTGATAAACACATGTTAAAGGGTGACTATGACGAGGTGTATGGTTATTGCTCTGCCGCTAACAGGACATATGATTATGTTATTGAACTGTTAACTGCATAATTATGGTCATCGTGTGTGAATTCGCCATCGGAATTCTCGGGGATACAAATGTAGGATAATATAACTTAAGGCGTTAATATTACATTGTAAGTTAATAATTAGTACGACCCATGAAGATCCGGGGTAGAATAGGCCTTTGACAGCAACCCATGCTTGCTGTAAAAGGCAAATATGCTTGTCGTAGGAGGCGACTAACGGGATCGGATGGTCAGGCTCGCTGATTTGGTTGATGCATGTCATCGATCCCAATTGCGTGGATGCTCATGATGTCAATCACTGGATTGTCTGGTCCAGACTCGATTATTTACAGACCGCCGTCATACAGCTGGGATACTGCTGAGTGCGGCTTTAAAAAACAAACAAACAAATAATAATTAGTACGGAGTTTATAATCATCTAACATTTGTCGTATGAACCCAATTGCGTGGATGCTCATAATGTCAATCACTGGATTGTCTGGTCCAGACTCGATTATTTACAGACCGCCGTCATATAGCTGGAATACTGCTGAGTGCGGCTTAAAAAACAAAACAAACAAATAATAATTAATACGGAGTTTATAATCATCTAACATTTGTCGTATGAGTTCAGAAATGCTTGACAGCATTGACTCCAGACAGATTGGAAACATTTGAGTGGATGGGGGTATGGATAAACGAAAAACACGCTGAAACGAATAAATTGCAATTGAAGATAAGTGTCGTTTGACGTCAAATGACATGTTTATCTCATTGAGTCACTTTACGTTATTGATACTGTAAAATGGCACAACCAGCTGTGGTACGCATGCTATTTGATAGTCTATTCATTGCACGTGCACTGAATGATACACCGAGGTAGACTTAAGTAGCCCAAGCAATAAGTGATCTTTAAGTATAGAGTGAAATGACATTATATAAGTGAAATATCGATTTTTAAAATAAAAGTTTGACATAAATATAGCATTTCAACACACAAATATTTCTGCTAAATAATTGACGTATGAATATAACATGTTTACATGAAAACAGACCAGATATAATGGAACAGTAAAGTGAAACAGTCCAAGTCATTCAGATACAGCGAAACCTTGTTAATCTGGACCCCCTTATTCTGGATGGGGCACGGGCAATTCGCTGTGTAGAGTTGCGTTTCTTGGGCACGCCAGAAACCTACGATCGTGTGTTCGAATCCCGGTTCGCTCAGATTTTGTTTCTAGGTTTGTCAGCACCATACACGTTTCTCGTGGGTTTCACCAAAGCGACAAACGTCTGAGACCTGCATCCATCGGTCTTTCCATCCACATTAAGCGTACACGCTGTGATAAGACTGGAACACTTTGTATGTGTGTGTGTGGCTGCTTGAACTAGTCCGGACTGATGCCGATTTAAGAAGTGCTAGCACACTGAGAGACCATACCATGCCGCAGTTTAACACAAATACCCCACTCAGTCACAGTACACTGACTCCGAGCCGACCAGTCCTTGTTCTAGCCCCTTGATGCCCTCCGCCAGACAGGGAAACAACAAGTACCATCTTTTAACGTCTTTTGGTATGACGCGACCGGGGACCTTCTTCGGGCGGACGCTCTACCACTAGACCACGGAGGCGGTCTCTTTTTGTGGAGCACTGTTTAGGATGTCTATATATGTTTTTAAAGGACTACTTACCCATTACGCGTTAGTGTGGAAGCTTTAACTGGGAAGAGACGTGCGGATTATTTGGGGATTATTTAAACACGAATAACGGACACCGTTGCGGTTTCATGTCGTGTTGGCCCACCTGCTGATTTACATCCGAAATTGCATCTCAGTCGCGACAGCTGGAACAACGCGCATGCTGTATATGCCTAATGTGCAATTTGCGTTGTGTAGACTACGTTTCAAAAGCTACACTGGCAATTACTATAAATTCATTGCTTGTTCCAGGATATGCGTGCAACAACAACAACAAGTGGACCAGATGTACTTCAATGTGAATGAGTGAGTGAGTGAGTTGAGTTTAACGCCGCTTTTAACAGTATTCCAGTTATATCGCGGCGTGTCAGCTGAATGTGGGAGGACGTAAAGCCCGAAGTGATGCAGGTCTCCGACGTTTACCCCTTCGGTGAAACCCACGAGCACGGGTATGGTGCTGACAAACCTAGAAATATAATCGGGGCGAATCGGGATTCGAACCCACCATCATAGGTTTCTGGTGTGCCCAAGGGACGCAAATCTGCACAGCAAATCGCGGCGCCTTAGACGACTTGGCCACCCGTGCCCCCAGTGTGAATGAATGCTGCAGAACGTCTAAGGTCATGAAGTCCATCCCAGTAAAACCAATTGTTCGCAGCATGCGTCATCTCGTTGATGTTAGGGACTGGCCCTCTTTTATAGGGTTGGGTGAAAAAGTGTTACATGTAGGGTGTGTGTGAAGCGTGAATTGTTTTACGGAAATTGTTTGAGGGGTTGTTGGGAGGGGGGTAGCAGAACATCTGGATTGACTGGTCCGGATCCGATTACACAAACACGTCCTTCATATAGCTGAGAATATTGCGCAATTTGACGTTTAACAACAAACAACCAATCTTTCAATCGACAGTTTTGAAAACATAGGGTACCGGAGACGTAATCCGTCCCGGATCAACACTTTAGGTGATCACAGGGAGCGCCAGTTCTCTGAGCACGCACACCTGCTTTTGGAAGGAAACAAACACATGTAAATGAAGGTGATTTCGTAATTAGTGAATGAGTGAGTGAGTGAATTGGGTTTTAAAGTCGTTTTTAACAGTATTCCAGTTGTAGCGTGTCAGCTTAATGTGGGAGGAACGCCTGAAGTGATATAGGTCTGAGACGTTTACCACTTTGGTGAAACAAACGAGCACGGGTATGGTGCTGATAAATCTAGAAACGAAATCGGGGCGAACCGTGATTTAAACACACGATCAAGGGACGCTACTGTACACCGCGAAACTTGTGGCGCATGGACGACAGGGCCACCTGTGCCCCCTGCTTAATGATGAGATTACATCTGATGAGGTGAGAGACAGCTGTACGCTATGGCAATGATTGTATCGAAAATGAATATCTGATTGAATCTGATTGGATTGCTAAGGTATAATTATATAAACTTATGTAATCTTAATTTTTCATCCGGTGTAATTCCTGAGGCTTAGAAGCTATTATTAAACCAATACATAGTATTAAAGGCGACTCACAAGTTATTTTAATATTTTACTACGTTACCTCTTTAATCCACACCCATCTGAATACTAACTTAATTATATAATTTGTGTTGTTCTCTTGCAGTGTATGATTGTATATATTTACATATGTTAGCACTGATTATTTTCTGTAATCTATGCATATTTACACAATGTAATTGTATATATAGATGGTGGATTTGAGCAAATAAAGTGCTGATGTTGATGCTACTAAACTGAAGGTCAAGCTAGATAACAAGGTTGAGTGACATCATTGTACATTAAAACCAAGAACTACAATGAAACCTCATTAGCGCGGACTGGCCCTCTTTCTGTACACTTGTTTCGGATTAACAGGGTGTTACTATTCATGAAAAGTACATATACAGCCTCCGGTGACAGGTTGTTATTTATGTGTCTACGATTTGAATTGTTAATAACAATGAAGCATCAGTGAACTGTTTAAATATACATAACATATTATTTACGCTGACTGAAAATAATACCGCTTGGATCGCGCTGTCTGGGTCAATCTGGAAACAGTATGTTTAGTCATTCAAGCAGTCGACGCAAGGTTATAGAAGAGAGTGTGCATTGTTATTTAATAGACGAAAGGAGTGTTACCGCTCCTTTCACATGAAATAATCTTTTCAGTTGATTCCAATAATTTAGATGTCAATGTATGTGGAATTCGTGGTTACAATACAAAACTCTCATCAAACAGGTATAAACACACACACACACAGTGACACACACACACACACACACACACACACACACACACACACACACACACACACACACACACACACACACACACACACACACAATCTCTTCTATAACCTCTCTCTCTCCACACACACACACACACACACACACACACACACACACACTGTACATGTACTACTGATCCGATGTAGTTTTGTCTGTTTCAGTCAGACACTCACATTAACACAGTTTTGTCAAACTCGTGATTCAGGTCATATTTTATCTGATTGTTGACATTATCTCTGATCTCTAAATACTGGACCGTATGCCTACCGGCCACAATATGCGTTGTTTTTCTGAACTGATTACGAGAGAGAGAGAGAGAGAGAGAGAGAGAGAGAGAGAGAGAGAGAGAGAGAGAGAGAGAGTGAGTGAGTGAGTGAGAAAGTGAAATGAGAGTGAGAGAGAGATTACAGAGAGAGCGAGTGTGTGTGAGAGAGACAGAAAGAGGAAGGGAGAGAGGGATGGGGAGGAGAGAGAGAGTGAGAAAGTGAAAGTGAGAGTGAGAGAGATTACAGAGAAAGCGAGTGTGTGTGTGAGAGAGAGACAGAAAGAGAAAGGGAGAGAGGGATGGGGAGGAGAGAGAGAGTGAGAAAGTGAAAGTGAGAGTGAGAGAGAGATTACAGAGAAAGCGAGTGTTTGTGAGAGAGACA